CTGTCAAATAAATAAATAAAATCTTTAAAAAAAAAAAAAAAGTCCTAAATTTTGAAATAAACAAATCTATAAAGTTTTGTTACACAGAATATTCCAAATTAAAAAGTGATACAAAAAAGGAAGATACCTTTTATATAAAAAATATAATTTTAAATGTTCATCTAAATAGGGGCACCTTGGGGTGCCTGGGTGGCTCAGTCGTTAAGTGTCTGCCTTCGGCTCTGGTCTTGATCCCAGCGTCCTGGGATGGAGCCCCACATCAGGCTCCCTGCTCGGCAGGAAGCTTGCTTTCCCTCTCCCACTCCCCCTGCTTGTGTTCCTGCTCTCACTGTCTCTCTGTCAAATAAATAAATAAAATCTTTTAAAAAGTAAATAACTAAATAAATAGGGGTGCCTGGGTGGCTCAGTTGGTGAGCATCCAGCTCTTGATTTTGGTTCAGGTCATGATCTCAGGTCATGAGATCGAGCCCCCGAGTCATTGAGCTCCACATCAGGCTCCATGCCCAGTGTGGGGCTTGATGAAGATTCTCTCTCTCCCCTTCCCGCACTTTAAAAAAAAAAAAAATGCTCACCAAAATAAATAGGAGTACCTAGAAAATACAGTGCTTTTAAGACACATCCTAAAGGTAGGAATTTGAAAACAACTTATTTCTCACCAAAGGTGTTACACTGTTACAGTATAAAAGAAAGAGGTAAAGCATTTTGTTCTCCATTTTCGCTTTCTTTTCAGGTCAGTCCTTTGACTTCACACAGACTAGGTCTCTGACTAACAGCACAAAATTAAATTTCAAAGGCCTTTTGGAAGGTATCCCCACAGGGAACAATCAAGCAGCAATTTTAAAATAATTGGCTTAGAGTGTAAGGAGATTTTGCTTGAACTTGATGAAATACGCAGAGGCTTAAAATTAATAAAGCTTAATTATTTTTCTACAATCTGGAACATTCTGAGGCTGATGAGAAATATGCCAGGCATTTGTATGAAAATTAACTGTTTTTCCCTCAGTTTCTCCAAAACTGAGATCATATCACCCATAGTGTTATCTAACCTCATTATTTTCTCACTTCATATACATGTATGGTATGTCTTCTGTGTCAATAAACATAAACATGTACAATTTTTTAGGGTATGTCTAGTTTTTCATATATTGCTATACTAATTTGCAGTTGGCTCTTGAACAATAAGGAATTTGAACTGTGGGGGTTCACTGATTTTTTGCAGTACAGTACTGTAAATGTATTTTCTCTTCCTTATGATTTTCTTTTTTGTTTATTTTTATTTATTTATTTGAGAGTGAGAGAGCATGAACAGGGGGAAGGGCAGAGAGAGAAGCAGGCTCCCTGCTGAGCAAGAAGCCCAATGCGGGACTCAATCCCAAGATCCTGGGATCATGGCCTGAGCCAAAGGGAGACACTTAACTGATTGAGCCACCTGGACGACCCTTTTTCTTTCAAAGATTTGAGAGAGAGAGAGAGAGTGCGCATGTGCGCACATGCGGGGCAGGGGCAGAGGGAGATGGGGAGAGAGTCTTAAGCAGACTGTGCTGAGCATGGAACCCCATGTGGGGCTAGATCTCATGACCTGGAGATCATGACCTGAACCAAAACCAAAAGTTGGTTGTTTAACTGACTGTGCCCCCCAGGCACCCCTTCCTTCTGATTTTCTCGATAACTTTTTTTTCCCTCTAGCTTCCTTTATTGTAAGAATACAGCATATAATACATAAAACACACAAAATATGCATTGACTATTTATGTCACTAGTAAGGCTTCTGGTCAACTGTAGACTATTAATAGTTAAACTGAAATTTAATTTAACCCCTGCATTGTTCAAAGGTCAACTGTAACTAAATCCCCAGTGGTGAACATGTAGATTGTTTTCAAGTATTTTTTGGTATAAAACCATCCTCAAGGGAGGCAAATATCAGGGTCTCCTGAAACTTAGTTCAGTGTTGACTATTATGTTCTGGGCTCTCAGATGCTATGTTTTTTGTTTTATTTGGTTTCTGGTTAGAGGTGGGAAAAGTGGGTAATATGACTTGTTTGTTTACTTATTTGAAATAAAATTTCCAAATAGTAGCATGCACAGATCTTGGTTCATGATTTCAAATGACAAAGCAACAATGTTAGTTAAGGACAGTTTGAGAACAAGTGCTGATTACTAGATTCAAACCCAACTGATATATACCAGTTGTTCCACTTAGGATGTAGGCACTTAGCATCTCTGAATCAGCTTCTTAATCATAACATGGGGGAAAGTATGAGATCATAGGACGTGGCAAGGATTCAGGATTCAGTGACATGGTATATTGGAAGTACCAAGCTCTATAAATATTCTCCCTTCAGATACCAGATTTGCACAGGACTGTGGGGAGAATTTTGGAATATGGTTAATGTGGTTTTATGCTAAATGTGGTTTTGTGCTGTGCTTCAGGATGCCTCCCAACACTGTGGTTGCCTGATGGGACCAGCAGGGCCTACCTGGTCTACACTCCCCCTAGCCTCACCTCATCCTCTGACATCTCCCCTTGCTCTGCTCCACACACTGGCCTCCTTGCTGTTTCCTAAGCACATCAAGCATACGTGAGCTTAAGGTCTTTCGCTTTTCCTCTGCCTGGGACACACCCCACCCAGCTATGCCTCAGTGAGTCCCTTATTTCAGCCTCTAATCTGTTTTGGATTTTTGCCCAGAGTTCATCTCAGCAAGACTTCCTGACCGTCCTATTTAAAACTGCCACTTTCCTATCCACACAGATCTCCTCACCCACTTCCCTGCTGCTCTCCTATCCCCTAATTTTTATTTTTAAAATATTTTATTTTGGTTCATAGCACTTTTCATCACTGGACATACTATTACATATTTCCTCAAGAATTTGTTTAGTGTCTGTTTCTCTTCATTAGACTATAAATAAGTTTCACGAAGGTAGAGGATTTTATCTATTTTGTTCACTGTTATATCCCCAGGTTCCAGAACAGTGCCTGGTATATAGTAAATTCCTAAAAAAATACTGTTGAAAGGATGAATAAATAAAAGGACAGATAAATAAGCAATATATATTCTACTCATTTGTAAAGTACAAAACGAAAGAAGATATCAAGTCGTGAAGCCACTTTGGTGGGATTCTCCGTCTGTGGCTCCCACAAGGCTTACTGCTTTCCGAAGGACTTCTTGAGATAGAGTTTAATACATTTTGTCATCACCATCATCATCAAGATAATGAGGGTGCAGATGGTGGTAATGAGAAGATGCACTCCCTAAGCATGCAATTGCTGCATGACCATGGCCACCCATGAACGAGCCTGATGCTCTGCCCGGCACTGCACTAAGTGCTGTCAGTAGAACGTGATTTTCTTTAATCCTCAGGATTTCCTGCAAGACACTGACCATTATTCCTGTCTATATGGATGAGGTAACAGGCTTGAAAAAGGTAACTAACATCAAGATTGAAATCAAAGTCATCTGATTTTAAAGTTTACTTTGGACCACTACTCTGCATTGTGGAATTTGTCATCAGAAGTACTGAAATAACATTAGATATAGAAGGCTGAATTCAAGTACTGACTGAAAGGGTGTCAATATAAAATATTTCCCTGGGAGATGGGAAGCAAAGGGCAAGAGGAATGGTGGGTGTTCTAGAGAGACAGGGCAAAGGAGTACCACAGATGCTGAAGTGAGTCAGTAGGGGTGGCAAACCACAGGCAGATTTGTCTGAGCAAACTGAACTCTACGATCAGAAGGAATTGGTGCTGGAGGACCTTCGACTTCCCCAATCCTGGATTTAGTCTTCAGCCACTGCAGTGTGTTCCTGAGAGATGCCGAGGACTCTGGGTGAACCATGCGGGGAGTATCAGACAGAGCAGGGTTGAAGACTTCCGGCTCAATGATCAACTTCTGAGGCCGTTCATGAATGGAATTTAAATGCCACATGCCTGTCCTGAATCAAATCTCTACGCGTGCTTGCTGTTGCATCCGATTTCTTTAAAACAGTGCACATTTATTATAGGTAACTCACTCACACTGAGTTAAAATGGCACAGTCTTTCAACAGAGATGTATTGTATGCTGTGCTCCAGGAAGGTGAACGAGAGAGAGGAAGAAGTAAAGAGGTGCTGATGGGGAGGCTGGGGGTACAGAGCTTAGAGACCCTTGTTTCTACTAGAGTCCGCTATTTCCAGTAGTCTGCTCTGTTTCCCTTTCAGCGGTGGATGGAGAAAAAGTCACTTGTGTGTGGAGGATGTTTACAGTAGCAGCGCTGCCTGAGCCCAACTACGAGCATGATGTGCACAATGCAAACTGGGACATGATAAATACTTGTTAAAAAAATCCTCCTCATTACGTTATAAGGGAACTTCCTTTCCAGAATACTGGCTAAATAAATGAGTTATCACACTGGGGATTCCAAGGAATGAAAATTCGAACACTGACTCTTTTTAGAGCATCTATTTTTATTCCTCCTCTAAAAAGACCTCACTGATCCTATTTCATTTTCTCAGTCTGGTCTTTCCATTTTTCTGAAAAGCAAGAGGGACTATGGAATAACTTGTGAGGCAAGCAGAATTTATATGAACACACTTCCTTTAAATTGTGACCACAATTATAATTAAATACGTCATCATTTCAAAGGTTCTGCATTATAATTTAGCCTACTTCAAAGAGTTATTATCAGGGGAAATGGAATCATGAGTGTTAAAGTGCTTACAAAATGCAAGTGAAATCACTATGGTAATATTTTCATGGTTTAGATATTGAACAATTATGTATCTTATAACTTACTCTAGTCATTGGTATAAATGGAATCACAATTTAAAGCTTTTTCCTCCAGCCTTTACTTTACTCTTTTTTAGGCTCAAAATTCTAATGTTTGCACATTGTTATTTATCAGATATAGTAGAAGGAAGAGGAGATGATGGAGAGTCGATTTACGGACCAACGTTTGAAGGTATGTGTCTTTAAATTCTGTCAGTCTATATCAGCTGATAAATCTAACAAGACTGGATAATTCACAACTCCAAATAAGATGGTGTTTGGGATAACACTGAAAGTGGGAGTTAAAAATGGAGTGGGGGAAGGTACCCCAGTCCAGTCGAGAACAGCTTTGTATACACATTTTTTTCCCTTGACTAATTATATTATTCCTTTAGGCTAAATTCCTAGAATTAGTATTGTGGGGTCAAAGGGAATTTATATTTTTAAGCCTTCTAATTTGCCATGCCCATACTCAGAATTTGGTACTTTGATAATCATCCCATTAAGACTGATGTTGGGGATCCTTGGAAGATGGGGTCGTGGTGATGGCATAGTTTTTGAATTTTTTGAAATTCCAACATAAAAACAGACTGTGTAAGTAGACAGAAAAACTAAAAAGCCATGGATGACATTTACAACAAAACTAGGTGACAAGGTATCTAAATGAATTCTCAATACAAACAGATGAGGACAAACTACCTATAGCTATGAAATGTGCATGGTGTCGGCATCCATGTGGGAGAAAGCAGCACTTCTGGTTGACTCGAGAATAGCATAACTTCAAAACAGCCAACAGTGGGTGAGTGTAAGAGGTCCCTGGTAAGGTTTGAGGCTGGAGCAGCCTAACCTCTCTGAACTCTTGAAACTGATCTGAAAGGGCACTCTTCCAGGACAGGCCCACGATGAGGAGATGTTACTGTGAATGGAATCAAAGTTATGCAGGATAGCGGGGCAACAGTGACAAAGGGAATGGGGACAGAGCCAGGAAATCACAGAAAGCAAGTTGCTATATTGTCAAACACACCATGAAAACAGCACAAGAGGGAGCTTTGTGAATTGAGAAAAGCGACCCCCTAAACACATAGGAAACCTAATTTTATATAAAAACTGGCAACAAAAAGTTTCACGGTTATTAGAAGTAAAAGAGAATAAGGAGCAGAGGAACATCACTACAGATCATGAAAGTACACTAGAAAGACATGCTCACAAAACAGATCAAAACTGTACAAATTTTCAGAAAGAGCCAGAAGACATAGAGAATATGATACAAGACAGGAAAGATACTCATAAGTCAGAATTAGAAAAACTTAGAGGTTACAGAACTAGGGAAGAATTAGCAGTAAAAGAACATTTCAGAAATAAACTCGAAGGAACATAGGTCAAATAAACATGACAGATATGCATGTCTTAAAAGAAGTAAAAGGTGGAAGGGGGGAATTTTTAAAACCAAAAAGTAATGAAGATAAAAGGATTTATAAGAAAGTGACAAATAGCTAGAAAGAGAAGATCCAACATATGGATGGCAAGTTGTCCCTAAAGGATTAAATGAATGCAAGGGAATGGACAAAATACTAAGAACTAACATTGAAAAAAACTGTCCTGAATTTAAAAAGGATTTGATGAGTTTCACACAAATTATGAGAGAGACCTTGACATCAAGATTGGTGATGAGCAGTAATCACATAGTTACTGTGAAACTAAAATTTAATGAGGAATAAAGGGTGAGAGTATGATATATAATGACTATATCTTTAGCCTACCTTTTCAAAACTGGAAGAAAATGTAGAGAACGTATGCAAAATCTTTAAACTATTTTCAGTAATTACACTGGTGATGGTGAGACTTTTATATCTGTAATCGGAAAAAGCAAGTAATTATAGGATTTCCTAAATTCATCATTTCATGTGTCCTTGAGAATCATGATTTTCAATGTGCAAGAAGGGAGATACAAATGAAATATAACAGAAGCCAATAAGTCAAATATTATGTATTGGAAAAACCGGTTTAAACTCACAAAGTATCATATCTACCTGTATAGCTCTATCCACTGAATTGGACAAGGACTAACTTAGTAGCATCACACACTCCTAGCATTTAGATTGGTGTTCTGAAGTGTTATTTCTCACTTAAAGAAACCAGGGTTCCTAGGGAAAATGGCAGGTTTCAGTTCCAGAACAGGACATTACAAAATGAGCCTTGAAACTCATGTTTAGTCATGCTATTATCAGATAGCAAGAAAGCTATTAAAGATTTACTAGGGTCATGTCAAAGTCCTCGGGAGACAACTTGAAGAGGCTCTCACTGGCCAAAGATTTGAACTTCAAAAAGAATAGTAATCGCAAATAATTGAAACCCAACAAATATTTTAAATCCATGAATTCATAATGACATCATATTATAAAATAAAGCCTAATAGCGTATCTTTGAGGGAATGATGGGAAACAAATCATTATCTTAAAAACTGATAAACAAAAGCAAAGAATCAAGCATTTATCTTGCCTTTCCTATATGAACTGTACCAAATTGTAGGTAAGAGAAAATTGCTACTTACAAGAGCATTCCAATAGATAGATGAGAAAGAAATAATAGAATTAGAATAGTACCATTTTGCTGCCCCCAGTGAAATAGTGGATCTAGGCCTTTGCTGCATTGTTATCTGCTAACTTCACACAAAAACAGGGACAACCAGACATTATGAGCCTTCTGTGGAGAGGATGCACCACCAAAGGGACAGAACATGAGTTTGATTAAGCCTCTGGACCCAGCTGCCAATCTGTAGGAAATAAAGCTAGTTCTGATGTCATGTGGTCCTAAAGATCTCTGCACTATGAAAATCATGCATTAAAAACTGCAGGACTTACGGCAAACGTGAGGTACCCAAAAAACCCTTCCTCAGTGACACATTAAAATATAGAGTAACCTCATAAAACCAGTAACAGTTTAACATCTATTTTATGGTCAAGAAACACAGAAATATTAGAATGAATTTGGCACTCTACCTCGAAAGCTCCCTGAGTTTGAGGAGGTGGTGTGGGAAGAGGTGTAGCTTGTGACTGATTGTGAAGTGGTGGAAGGAGGGCTCTCTGAGATTGGAAGCAAGCTGTAGCATCAGATGTGGGTGGACACAGCTCATACTGAGGTCACCTGTGGCGGATATCTGAGGTGTGGGTGTTTCGACGCAGCTCAGTTCAGCTGCGAGCCATTTTCTACATTTACCTGGTGTTTCTCCTAGACAGTGCACATAAACATGGGCAAGAATCGTTAAGCTCAGATGTTGCCAATATATCAAACAAGCTGAAATTGACTTGTCCTCTCAACGTAAGTATTACAGGCAAGAGGACAGGACAAAGAACACAGAAACCTACTGAAATGCCCCATGCACGTGCAGTCAGCAAACTTTGGACTGGGAAAAATTCTAGAGGTTAAACAGCTCACGTTTATTAACAGATAAAAGTAAGTAAAGGAAAACAGCAGTCTCTCTCTATACTGAGTTAAAAAAAAAAAAAAGTAAAGGGATAGACGCAGACCTTGAAGATTAAGAGACTTAAAAGGCATAACAAGTGTTTTAAAATGGTAAAGACTGGGGAACCTGGATGGTTCAGTTAGTTATGCATCTGCCTTCAGCCTAGGATACAGGCGTGCACTAGGCTCCCTGATGAGCAGGGAATCTGTTTATCCCTTCTCCCCCCACCTCTTCCCCTGCTCTCTTTCCCTCTTAAATAAATAAAATCTTTAAAAATAATAATAATAAAATGGCAAAAACTATACTACCTAGTAACTACTAATAGCTGTGGACTAACTACTAACACTATTGACCTGAAGCCTTATCAAAAACACAAACAGTTGATTAACCATTTTCTCCCATCCAAGTACTAACCAGGCCCGACCTGGCTTAGCTTCTGAGATCAGACGAGATCGGGCACATTCAGGGTGGTATGGCCGTAGACTGATCAACCATTTTCTTACAATGAAATAAGCTAAAGAAAATGTTAAGAAAATCATAAGGAAGAGAAAATACATTTATAGTTCTGTACTGCACTGAAAAACATCCGCATATGAGTGGATCCCTGCAGATCGAAGCTAGTGCTATTCAAGGGCCAAGTGTATAAGGAAATATTAAGCATGAGAGCATTTCAAAATCAGGGAAGTGGTTACTTTTCAACTAGACAAGGCACTTTTGGGAAAGCGGGCCTGAGTGGGGATGAAAAGGGTGTTTCCCTTATAATAACTAATAATAACTTTAATTATATATTAGTTTTCTATGTCTTTTGTGTCTAAATTTTAATACAATGAAAAGGTTTTAAAAAAGTAATATTGAACCAATACCAAGGTGAAGGGAAAAGGAAAAGCCAATTTCCTTCTAAGTGCACATGGAGCCAGCTTTATCAAATGAAACCGGGCAAGTGACATCATTTATTTATTTATTCATTAATAAACATTCAACTCTTGGGTGCCTACATGGTGCTAGGGCCTTAGGAAACAAAGATGATACGACCAAGCCTCTGGCCTCGAAGACTTTAGGTTTGGTGCAGACAGACACTCAAAGGGATTAGCTACTGGCACGGTGCCAATGGCGGTTATGGAGGAAGAACTGGGCGCTGTGGAAAAGAACCGACAGCTACCTGGGAGAGCTGGGGGCGGTGGCCCAGAGTAGCTTTTGAGTTGGGTCTTAAAACATTGCAGATGGGGAAGGGATGTTCCTGGATGCTTTCCTAATAAGCTGAATCCCTGATGAAAATCCACAGTATGGGACCACCCCACGGCCGCTGTCAGATCACCTGGAGTCCTGTTCAGAGGCACCGTCTCAGACAACTTGGGCCTTCTGTCCAGCAGGAGACACATCTCTTAGCTCCTTCCTTGCCTGCCCCCTGGACAACCTGTGCCTCTGGTGATTGTCCTGCACTCCTATCCTTACACTGTTACAGAGGAGGCGACTGTCCTCTGGTGCCGGGGGAGGCCCAGTGTGTTCAGGGAAGCCTCCATTACTCAGGATATCTGCGGGTGCAAGATTAGAAACTCAGTAACCCAGTAAATGAAAAGGAGAGATGCCCCCAAGGAGAGATGAGTAACTGCTCAGAACAGCAAAGCTTTGCTGGGTTTCCTCCCTCATCCACCCCCCTGGGGGGTATGTACACAAGGGCCAGCCAGTCCCTCCTCCGCATGTCTCTCATTGAGCCCTGTTACCACAAGCTGCAGATCTGAAACCTGGGGCTTGCTAAAAAATGACTACAACCACTAAACTCACTTTTATTAAGCTAAGCACAGTGAATTTAAAAGAATGGAATAAATAATAATTAGATGATTGTTTTATAAATCAGTTAATCATTTTTTTAACTTGAAGGAAGTCTGTTTTGCTTTGTTTCAAATCGCAAGTTTTTAAATTGTCTGCCCAAATCATATTCCAAATGTTAAGAAACTGAATATTAAATATTAGCCCTTTCTTTCCTCCATGTATAATATCCCTAATCCTTCTCCTGGCCAAGGATTGGCAGTTAAGTGGTTTGGGCTGACTAGAGAAAAATGTCATTTATATAAAAAGCAAAAGAAAAATATTTTAAAATATTGGATTATTCTTGTCACGTTAAGTAGACCAGTTTGTTAATGTTAGCTTGTGCCCTAATTCACAGATACAGCACTTAATATCCATTTGTCTAGTTCTTAGATCTTCTTGCCTTTAAATGAAAGTGTTCAGGGTGCCTGGGTGGCTCAGTCAGTTAAGCATCTGCCTTTGGCTCAGGTCATGTTCCCAGGGTCCTGGGATCGAGCCCCACATCGGGCTCCCTGCTCAGCGGGGAGTCTGCTTTCCCCTCTGCCCCTCACCCCACTTATGCTCACTCACTCTCTCTCTCATATAAATAAATAAAATCTTTTAAAAAAATGAAAATGTTTATGAATAAATGGCACAGAGCCTGATGTACTGTCAGTACTGAATAACTGAAAATAGTACAGTCTAGGTAGCCATTTAAGGGCTATTTATTTTTTTAAAAATTTTGAGATTTCTATATGGAAAGTGCATATGTACAATTAAGACATAATTTTAAAACAAATCCCCGTATTACCATCCTTGTCAAGAAAGAAAATTTGCCAGCATACCAGAAGTACCCTATTTGTCCATCCTCAGCAATACTCCACCTCCCTCAGAGGTAACCACTAGCCTGCCTTTCTTCCTTGCTCTCCTTGATAGGTTAACCACCCAGGTAGGTATCCCTAAACAATATAGTTAAATTTTGCCTGGTTCTGAATTTTATGTAAATGGAATCACACTGTAGGCATTCTTTGTGTCTTACTTCTTTTGTTCATCCACTGCCTATGAAATTCATTCATGTTCTCTATAGCTGGAATCCTCTGTCACTAGTGTTCAATGTTATAAACATACACTAAGTGTTTATCCCCTTAAGTGTTCACGAATACTAGCTATTCATTCCTAATGTCACACACATGATCAACATGTGTACTTACAAATGCTTCATTAAAGCAACAATTAAAACATACCAAGTAGCACCAGTTCATGTACTTTTATGTAATAATAAAGAGTATATAGCTGTTATTATTTAAATATGATAGTAAAAATAGAACATTTGGTTTACAAAATTAATATTGCAATATTCAGGTCAGATTTTTACTTGATATTACTGCCTTCAGCAAATTATATGGAAATGTCCTAAACTATCTGATTATACTTTTACCAGAGAGAATGCATGGCAGTTTTCCCAGACTTGTGGTAGTTGCTTCCTTTATAAGCATCAGAATGACTTTATTTGAAACAGATTCAGAAACTGATTTTCTTCAGCCCATAAATTGATTTTTTTTCCCATAAGTTCTGATTTCTATTTCAAATAGTTACATGTTGCCCTTCCCGTTGTATGTTATAAATGAGGCCAGTTTTTACCACAGAGCAGTAACTACGATTCCTATTTTATGGTAAGTGGCAGAAGCAGGAATTCCTGAGTCACAGACAACGGAATGAGAGGCTTCTGAGATCCTACCATAGCTTTTAAACTTCCTTCCATGCCTCAATTAACATGACCTAAAAATAAAATTATTATTAATTATGCTAGTTTAGCCAGCACTCAAATTTTAAAATTTTTCTATTTTTACCCAGCAATAAAAAAGATATTTTTTGTTCTTCCTGCTTCACTTTCTGGTAGGTTGTTGAAATGTTTCCTTTCCATTCAGGGCTGCTGATAGAGTTAAACTAATCTAGAACAGTTAATTATCCCATTCAGAAAAAGTTGGGAGGGGGGTGAAGGGTTGGTTGAATAAGGACCCATTATTTTCCCTATCCTCAAAATATTATGTGAGCACATTAAGTTTACACTTTTTATGTAACTGGAAAGTCTGAAGCTCTGCACTTAACCCTCAGAACATACTAGGCACTGTAAAAATATTTGTCAAATAAACAAATGTTGACTTAAACCCGGGATTTTCACTCTCCATCTTGTTACTGATAAAAAACAAACAAACAAACAAAAAACCCCAAAACTTCTCTATTAATGTAAAAATACTGTTCGGATAGTCATTTTTCAGGAAAGCTTCTCTAAGGACAGAATTTTATGTGGAACTCTATTTTGTCACTGGTTCTGGTCTTTAAGTAGATAATCTGTTCCTGCAAGGCTGGGGGTCCACTCCATACCCCAAGTGAGCTGTGAAGGAGGCACCAAGGGCCCCGTCCTAGTGGCAGCTCATGCTGAGTTCATATGGGAGGGGTCACTACAACCTGTTTCAGAGCAGAAACTCCCACCAGTAACTGTGTAGAGAACAAGAAGGGGAGGGTTGGCTCCCCTCCCCTCCGTGGGAGCTTTCCAAGAGTAGAAACAGGTGGAATTCTACCCAAGGGCTTTACCTGGTGTGGCAGAGTCACCAGCTGAGTCCCCTCTGTTGTGCCGTCACTGCCAGTCTTGAAGTGACAAGCCTCGGGTCTTTAAGTTCCATGGCAGCACTCTGTTAAAACAATCGTTATCATAATTATTTAATTTTCACACATTTTTTTGAGGTGAACACATTTTAAATTTGTAAGTTAAGGGCTGCCTATACCTACATATTAACTTTAAAAGTTAATGAAACTTTAATAAAAGTTCTCCCATAATTACAGAATTTTGGGTAAAAAAATGTTATGCTATAAAACTTTCTTTTTTAATGTTTACAGAATTTAAGAAACATTTATCATGTATCTAAGAACAATGACATACCGTTTTGTTAAAACTCTGAATCTTTACTTTGGGCAAAGTAATTTTCTGTAAAATTAATGGATTATTTCTTAATTGCTCTGAAATGAATACGGAGCATCAATGTAATTATACAGACTTATTTGTACAAAAGTGCTTTATTTGCATTTCACAATATTTCAGAGGTTTTTACTCAGTTGCAATTTAACAAGGTAAAAGCTACTACTACGGATATGGCTTAATTGCTTAGTTGGTTTAGCTGTGAAACTTCAAATGCTTAGCAACTGCATCTTCAGAAAATCTTGACACTTAATGCTCATACCTCTCAATTACTCCCAGAATCTTATAAGGTTATTGAATGAAAGCTTTTCATGAATTTCTCTTCCACCACTCCCTTCTGTGTTTTTGAGTTTGGGGGTAAAAGTAACCTCATGCTAGAAATGCCACATCCTGAAAGAGCAGCTTGATTCACCACTATACACTTCTCTTCACTTGTGAACTTTACACACACACACACAAAATAAAAATAAAAATCACTTTCCACAAAATCTTGGTCAATCTATATAAAGTTTGAGATTAAAATTTATTTAAAGACTCCAAAAAAAATTATGAATCCCCTTCGTTTCATCACCAACATTTAAGCCCACATGCATACCAGTTAATGTACTAGGAGGCCCTAGGAGTAAGGCTATCCTGAGACAAGGTGCCTGGCCTGCACACACTAGAGAAGAGAAGCCATGTGAACGATGGCACAGGTCATAAAGATGACCACAGAGGTCTGTATGAGATGCTGTGAGGGGAAGGGTCAGATCCAAAAGCCATCTCGAAGAGGGTATTTTTAATGATCACATTGGTAGTTTGAATGAACTACTACTGCCAAACAGCACAAGAAAATGTGCTGACCTTTATTCCTCAGCAATGTACTTCCTTTTACATTATTAATTTAAAGCACTTCCTTTTACATTATTAATTTTCTTAGCACACTTGTTTTTAGCTACAATAATGATAAAGTAAATGTAGAAAAATGTTCAAAATAGTTCTAACGAAGATTTTCTATCTTATCTTTTTTAACAGCCCAGTTGGAGTGAAATACGAAACAATACAATTTGAAAATATTTTAATGAGCTACTATTTACTGTCTTTTCTAGATGAAAACTTTTCAATTCCTCATAATAAGAGGGGAGTTCTTGGAATGGCCAACAAAGGCCGTCACACCAACGGGTCACAATTCTACATCACACTACAGCCAGCACCCTATCTAGATAGAAAATATGTGGCTTTTGGGTATGTACACTATAAGTTTGTCTATATTATATGTATATGTGTGTCTATATATGTCTATATAATATAGATATATATGTATGGTTTGGGGCAGCTGGGTGGCACAGTCAGTTAAGTGCCTGACTCCTGATGTTGGCTCAGGTTATGATCTCAGGGTTGTAAGACTGAGACCCAAGATGCGCTCCCGCTCACCATGGAGTCTGCCTGTCCCTCTCTCTCTGCTCCTCTCCCTGTTCATACTCTTCCTCTTCAAATTAAATAAATAAAATATTTTTTAAAAATGTGGTCCACATAGTTTATGGATAACTGAAGATATAATTTAAAAGCAAAAATAATACAAATAGAGACAAATATTTAGAATAAATATTTCATAAGAAGCTTGCTATCTATAAAAAACACAGAAACCATTAAGGTCTAGCCATTATAATGTCCTGACTATCTATCCTTCTATCTTCAGCCTCAAGGATATTGTCATTCTTATTTACTATGAGCAATACCATAGTGCTTAATCACAGAAATATTTAGATGCAGAAGTGAGGTGAAGCCATTTAAGTGCCTGTCCATGAACACGGTAAAGAGATATATGAAAACTATCCAAATTACAAGTAACTTTTTTAACTGAACAATTTATAGTATGGAAACACCTCAGATAATAATGATTAGAATATTATTAGTAAGTTGCTAATAGGCATGTGGACCTAAAATGGATGATGGATATACTCTTTATCACTACAGTGTATATGTCTCTATTTGATTAGTGGAGTGAATGTAAGTTGAAGTTTACTTGGTCTTCCCTGAAATGATGCAGAGTATTGGAATTTTTCTGAATAAGTATTAGATTATTCCAGCCACTCCACAGGGATAATTACTGACTCTTCATCCCATGAAGAAATTTCATAAGTTTTAATTTAAACCACAATTATCCCTTCAGTGTAACACAAGTGATATTTCTAGACTGAAAAAGCAGAAAGTGTATTTTCATCCAAAAGAGATTTCTTTAAAAAGATGACTTTATATTAATAGATGCATAACCTAAAATGATGTATTATCTTCTATTTTCCCTGGTCCTAATAAACTGTATTCTGATTTTGAAAATGTATTCTTCAATTATTTAAAATCCAAATAATATTCACAATTTCTTGGATCATTTAAGTGTCTTCCCATCATCTTAACCACATGATTAGGTGAACCTTCCTATCTTTCCAAAAGGTGACTTCCTCAAACACAAACATGACTACTTTAAAATGTCTAACATCTCCTTCTTCACTATCTGCCCCCCTCTCCAGATGCATACAGCTGAAAGTCTAGAGTGGCATTCTGGGCCTTCATTATCTGGCCCCACATCTATTTCAGCTTTCCCTTCTGTTCGCCTCCTGACTTCTTCATTCAACCAGCGTTTTATTAGGCAACTACTATATGCCAGTCATGGTGCTCAGTCGTGGGGAAAGAGAGAAGAGGCACAATTTCTACCCGTTAGGGAGTCTACAGTGTATTAGAAAACCAACAACTCTAAGCCAGTGAGACACAGGCTATGGCAGTTCTGTGAAGAGTGCACTGGGGATACAGGAAAGAGGGAAGACAGCTCCTCTAGCAAAAGCGAACACAGATCCCTAGAGGATGGCAGTGGAGTGGAGGATGTGGTCTCCTTTTGACGACTGTTATTTTCCATGTGATTCACCTTCCTCCAGGGGAGTCTTGCTCACTCAATTTTGTTGTTGCCGCCACACTGGTTTTGGCGGCGGGGGGGGGGGGGCACTGCACCTCTTTTATTGTTCTAGCCCAAGTATCATCTCGATCGATCTCTTAAATCTCCAAATCAGAGCTGAGTCTGGGCTGGAATATTTAAACAAGACCTTAGAGAACACTAGGGAGCAGAAAGGTGATACCTTAAGAGGCAAGTAGATACTCTGACCAAGTGTAACTCCTTCAGGGGTACTGTCCTTCCCCACTGCAGGGCTGCTTCTGGTGTTAATGCTTTCTATCATCTCAGATCGTCCCCGGGTTTATGTGAGTTTCTGGAATCCCAGACATGGTTAGCAAGGTCCAGAGAGAGGTCCTTTTGAGCCCTAGTTCCTGGTACATGAACTTGTCCCTTCAGATAAATGACACTAGGAATGCTCTTCAGGGGAGACTGTCTTGCCCATTGGCTTCATAAGGAAAGAATGTCAAAACACAAATCTGTAAAATCTCCATTCATACATGGTAGATGGGGTAAATGTTGGGGACAGTGATGGGGGGAATTAATTTTATTATAGGGGACTCCCAAATGGGGTGGGCATAGAAAGCAGCATGAAGAGGTGAGATAAGTATTGAAATTCAAGTAGAAGTTAGCCAGAGAAGGCTGAAATCAAAATGAGTAAAATCAAATTTTGGGAAGAGTGAGAAGCCTTTGCAGAGGGGCCCTAAGGAATAAGGAGAGCCTCTTATCTACAAGTCATTTGTTCTGGCTAGAGCTTAGCACCCCAGGGGTGAATGGACAGAGAGAGGAGGGTAGAGAGGAGGAGACGGTCAGGCCCAGGTCCCAAAGGCTATTTGTACCATGCTATTAAGCAGGGACTCCCACCCAAAGGGGATGGGAAGCTATGGAGGAATTCATTGGGAGCAACATGACTAGGTTCTCATTTTGAAAAAATTCTTTTCAGCAGAAGTGAGGAATTAATTGGCAAAGGATGACAATGAAATTGGAAAGGCCGGTTAAGAAGCCTATGGCTTCTACAGCACTATGATAATAGTGCCATAAATGAAGTCCTGGTCCAAAGCACGGGCAGTGCAGAGAAGTGAGGGTAAACAGAAAAAGATTCAAGCAATACTCAGAAGTTAGATTCAACAAGACTCCAGTGACTCTTTCAATGGTGGTGGTGAGATCATGGAAGAGTATCAGGCAGTGGTATGTCACAGAATCTTCTGCAGTGATATAAATGTACTAAAACCTGTGCTGTCCACTATGACAGCTGCTGGCCACATGTGGCCATGCCCACTCGAAATATGACCTGACAACTGAGGAACTACATTTACTAAGTTTCAAATTTAAATACCCACCTGTGGCCAATGGCTACCATACTGGGTAGGGAGAGTCTAGAGAAACTCCTAGGATTTTTAGAACTGCTTGGATGGTTGATGCCATTCACCAAGATAGGGAATATGAGGATATGGGAGAGAAGATCATGGATTTAGGATGGACAAGTTATGTTTCTGATTAGGATACCTACAGGGTGAGGCAGAAGGCAACTCTGGGATACCATAAGTAGGTATTCAAGGGGGGTAAGGCCGGAAATAGAGATTTGGAAACTCACCATGGCAGCTGACCTATAGCCAGACCACAGTACGATCACTCCCAGGACAGCCTCTGGGCCTTTGCTTATCTTGTTCCTTTCTGCCTCTCTAAAGTCTGCCAAAATACTTTCAAGGCTTAAGTCAGAAACCTCCTGATTACCAGAATCAATATGCTTCTTTGTTCTCCTTGGCACCCTGTACAAACTTGCATCTTCTTTTTTAACACCTGTCACAGTGGAGAGATGCACATAGTAAGTGTTCCTTCAGTATTTGTGAGACCAATCTGGAGAACAGACCCTATGAATTGAATCTGTCCATTTGTCCCTTGCTCATCCTCAGAATGTACCTTCTGTTGGGCTCAGTGTCCTGGCGTCTGTTGGGGACAGCCAGAGGCGGACGGAGTTGCCTAGAGCATGAACAGTGTCAGCACTGCTGTGTGCCTATAAAAGTTCATGAAACGGAAACTGTACCTTCCCCTCAGCCACTGTCTCTGCTCAAACAGTGCCAAAGGGAACCAGTCCCGTGTTTAGCGCTGTCTCTCTAGCCTGTGTTACTCTCTTTCAGTTGAGAGAACCATCCTAAGTCTAGTTCCACTCAGGGAGTTCTAGCTCATGGCCAGCGAATGTCTACAGAGATCCAAACTAGCATGGCTTGTGCTTTTGTTCATGTATCCAGTGGCGTTGATGAGGTGCCTACTCGGTGCCCCGCCGTGTGTTACGCATTGAGTACTAAGTAAAAGCATGAACTATGTCCTCATGGGAGAATCAGAAACTAATTGAAGCAGCATAAATGTCAAATTAACCTTGACAACTCCTATAAAGATGATGGGGAGCTTGGCATAATCAAGGAGCGATGAGGAGCGATGAGTAAACTGAGATCTGAAGGAAAACCAGGAGGTGGGGAACAAAGGGAAAGTTGGGGGCAGGAGCACAACAGATAGACACAGCAGGGAAGCAACATGGGATACTGAGGTACTGAAGTCAGTCCCGCTGAGGCAGAGAGCCAGGGAGCATGGCCCAGGAAAGCACTGGAAGGCAGCAGGGAGGCAGCCCATGGCGGGTCATGGTGGGAGATTTTTGGTCTTTATCCTAAGGATAATGGGAAATTACTGAAGTATTTTAAGCGGGGAAGTGAGATCAGACTTGCAATTTTTTTTCAAGGTTTACATTTTTAAGAGATAACCCTGACAGCAGTGAGGATGACAAATTGGAAGGGTCCCAGAACGGATGTGGAGGAACCGTGGCAAAGTGGACACATCTGGAACTATTTATACTTATGACTGATAATCTGATTTACAGGAAGTAGTCATAGCTAAGCAGAGTAACACTTGATTTAGGGATGGAAGCTAATGTGAAAATTTATGACTAAATTCTCCATTTTTTCCTCCAATATAGGCAATTGATTGAAGGAACGGAAGTTCTTCAAAAATTGGAATTGGTTCCAACAGAGAATGAAAGACCAATACAACGATGCGTAATTATTGACAGTGGAGATCTTTATGCCTGATTTTCCTATCAGTATTCTCTGACAACTTATTATTATGCATCTGATCAGCTGTTTCTATATTTAATTAAACAGTGCTTGATAAAATTTAACTTGAAAGCTGTAAAGATGCTGTAGGTTGGCCCTCCCAACACCCAGTCCCTCCCCATTTTCCTTTCTTGTCTCTGCCACAGACTATAAAAGCAAAACACTTAATTTCCCACCCTCCTTCGCAGCCAGTAGTGGCCATGGAATACCATCTCGCCAGTGAGACAAGAGTAGAATGCCAGCGATCCTGCCCCTTCCCCTCAACCAGCCTTGAATGCAGAGCTGTGAAGGAAAGGCCAAGAGAACTGGAGATGTCAGTGCCAACTCTTGGGCTGCAGAACCAATGCCAGCACGTACCTATCTCTGGCTTCTTACTGTGAGACAAATAGACTCCTGCTTGTTGACGTTACTATTGGCTGATTATTTTGCTACTTGTAGCCCAAACCATTCTTAGCAGCAGGACCTAATGGCCTTCCAATCCTATAGCACTTAGAATGGAATTATGTTGTCAGTGAACTACATTTCTGCCCTAAGAAAGTTGGTAAATAACCAAATAGAAAAGAGGCAATAGAAAAATTCACTGTAATATTTCATAGTTTACATGCAGCATTCAGAAAAAGGCATCTATCTGACATGAAGAGAATGCTTATCTCTGAGCCACACCAACCATATGAAAACCAAAGGCTTGGGTTAAGCATCCCAACGCAAATCAGCCCTGTGGTCATTGACTCCTGAGATGTTATTGGGGATCCTGCTTCATCAGCTGCTCCTTAATCTGAGATTCTTAAATCCACCACCAGGGGAGCTTTTAAAACACAGACTGCAGGACCCTGTCCTTGATCTACCAAGTCAGAGTCTCTAAGTGTGGGAAAGGGATTCTGTTGATTCATTTAGCTCGACCTAGAGAATCCTGTTTGGCCAGCTGGGCACTAGTCATTTAGAAATCACAGCAAGACGTAAGTGACTAGTTTCAGCCCCCTCTTTGTAGTCACTGAAATGAGTGACTCTGTTGGTGGTGACCTTGCTCAGCTGCCTCCACCACTGCTGCCACTGCATTCATACTATGCCCAAAGCCATTAAGATTTTGGGATTTTCTTGCCCTTTGCAGAAGGTCTGTCTTCCAAGAATGATCTCTTAAGCAGACAGGCCTCTAATTGATTTGGGGGTTGCCAAAAGGAGGTATATGCTTTCTCTGACTTTTCATTTTGAAAGGATTATAAATTTACAGGAAGTTGCAAAAATAGTACAGAGCAGTCCTGTGTGCTGATCATCCAGGTTCTCCAATGGACATATCTTACACAACAACTATTGTACAATATATAAGCCAGGCAATCGACATCAGTACTGTGTGTGTTATCATTTTATCATGTGTAGATTCATGTGACTGATACCGCAGTCAAGTCACGCAAGTTTTCAAAAAGACCTCCCTTGAGCTACCCCTTTATAGTTACACCTACTCCCCTGCTCTCCACCATCCATCTCTAACTCCTGACAACTGAAATGTGATTTTTTTTTGTTGTTGTTGTTAAATCACAGCTTTATTACTATTTGGTATATGCCTTTATAGTAAGATTGGAGGTGGATGGGGAGAAAGCATACTGCCTATGTCACATTCTCAAGTGACCCAGAGGCAGCAGAGTGTTAAGAATGTGTGTTCTGGAGCCAGACGGCCTTGGTTTGAATCCTAGCCCTGCCATTCCCTAGATGCATGCATTTAGGCAAGAACTTCCCTGTGCCTCTATTTCAAATCTTTATGTCAAAGCATAGCACCTACCAAACAGAACTGTTGTGAGGGTCCAAGGAATCAATAATTTATATGCAGGATCTAGAACAGAACCTTTTTATGCTATATGTGCTCATTAAATGTATGCTTAATAAATTACTGGTATACCTTCAGGAGCTGGCCTAGGAAGTTGTATTTTTTAAAAGCTCCTCAACGACTCTGATTAATAACAACATTTGGGAAACACTAAAGAGGAGATAGTTCTTCTTCCTCTGTTCTGAAAAGTTTCCGCCAACCTGTTAAGCTGTTTGCATGAAGTCTCCAGATCCTCTCTCTGGGCCTTTGGATGGGTTCCTCTGGTCATTCCGGTGACATTTCAAAGGGGAGCTAGGCTTGCCACAGGGCCTCTCACCAACTAGTGAAGCGTGTGATGAACGAAACTGATGCTTTGCAGAGATCCTAGTTAAAACAAATTAACAAGCATTAGTCATGTAATAACAAGCAGCACAGCAGTTATCACTTGCTCTTACTTGCATGAACCCATACACTAGGGAATTAAGCATTTTATCTGATATTGTGAAAGAACGGAGATATCTGCATGGGTGTAAGAAACTGATTCCAGCTCCCTTTATTTTTCAACTTACCTGCAATGGAAAGGTAGCTCTCTACCGACTTTCTAAAGGATGGCAAGTTCCCGGTCCCTTTGTCCACTCCCACCTCCTACTCTCAGGCTGTGTAGAAACTTAAATCATAGATTTGTATATGCAGTGGTTCTTCTTACCACCATTTAAAGGTTCACACAGTGATACTTCTGTATTAGAATGTATTCTGTATCAGAACATGTATGTTAGGGGCGCCTGGGTGGCTCAGTGGGTTAAGCCGCTGCCTTTGGCTCAGGTCATGATCTCAGGGTCCTGGGATCAAGTCCCGCATCGGGCTCTCTGCTCAGCAGGGAGTCTGCTTCCCTCTCTCTCTTTCTCTCTCTGCCTGCCTCTCTGTCTACTTGTGATCTCTCTCTGTCAAATAAATAAAATCTTTAAAAAAAAAAAAGAACATGTATGTTAGCCACGTAATTTGAAGAAATTGATTCAAAGATTCAAAATCTTATCCCAATTTAACTCCAAATACGACTTAAACCAAACTGACTTTGATTTGATTCAACAGAAGGAATTCTAGACTGTTCCATGTCTACAAATATGAAACGCATTCTGATAATTTATACAAAATGTTATATGATCTTGCCCTAAGTGCTGATATGGCAGAGCCAAACTCATATCCTGTAACTTACACTAAGTCATGTTAATAAGGGGTGTGTGGTATCTGGACATTTTTTCTTATTATGGGAGATTTGAGATAAACATTTAAAATTCTATCTAAAGAATTTGTTTGTCCCAACTGCAAACCATGCCCATTATTTGTTAATGAACTAATGGTCTGGCAACCTCAGGATTCCATATTGAGTTTTTGTACTTCATACATATCTTAAATTAGGAAGTGTTTTAGTCCTAATTACCTAGTAATGTAGCCATCAAATAACTTAGTCTTTCACCTTCCTCATTTGTAGAAAGAAGAGATCGAAGTAAAGAAGCTGTTAGCTCCATCTGACTCTAAAACTTTAGAGATTCTCTGAGTAAATTTATGAAATCAGTAACAGTACTACTTACTTTGGGTTTCAATTTTTGTAAAATGGGGGTACATCTATCTCACAGTGGTTTGAGGGCTGAGATAACATGTGAAGACACTTCTGATGACACTTGACACATAGCAACTATTCAATAAACATGAGCTTCCCTTCTGGAATGTTAACCCACAAAACCCCGTCAAGCTGCCACTGACCGAAAGAATATCATCATCACCACTTCAAGAAACCCCAAGTCTCTCTAATGCTCAGTCTTAGCTCGTCACTAACATCACATTTTCAATTGACTGGATTTATTCAGAAGTATATCCTCAAAATTAAAATGGATTGCCATCACAGCTAGTGATACGCTCTCTTCATTTTTAAAAACTACTATGTTAATTATATAATCTACCACCTTTCCTAAAATGGAATCTTAAATTGGGCCAATCTAGCCAGCCATCTCTCAAATAAATTTTATATATCATACAAAATATCTGAAAACAACCTTGAAAGTTAACATATACAACATGAAGTACAAAGTTTGGTATTTGATTAGAGGTCTTTGAGAATGTGATAAATCACAGGTTTTTCTACTTCGGTGTGCATGAGAAACGCTTGAGCCTATCAACAAAATATGGGTTCCTGAGTCTAATCCTAATTTCTGATCCAGTGGGTCTGTAGTAGGCCAGAGAATCTGCATTTTTAACATGTTCCACATGGTGCTGCTGCTGCTGCCCTGGAGACCACACATTAAGAACCACCGGGCTGGGCTGTATTAAAGACATACACAGGAGTGCTTGGGTGGCTCCCTAGGTTAAGCACCCAACTCTTGATTTTGGCTCAGGTCACGATCTCAGGGTTGTGAGATTGAGCCCTGTGTCAGGCCCTGCACAAGGGTAGAATCTGCTTGGGATTCTCTCTGTCCCTCTCCCCCTGCCCCTCCTCTTGCTTGCACATGCTCTCTCAAATAAAAAAATCTTAAAAAAAAAAAAAAGACACAGGCGCCTGGGTGGCTCAGTGGGTTAAGCCTCTGCCTTCGGCTCAGGTTATGATCTCAGGGTCCTGGGATCGAGCCCCACATTAGGCTTTCTGCTCAGCAGGGAGCCTGCTTCCCTTCCTCTCTCTCTGCCTGCCTCTCTGGCTACTTGTGATCTGTCAGATGAATAAATAAAATCTTTAAAAAAAAAAAAAGACTGGTATTGGGAGACTTGTGGCATGCAGGTACGTGCAAGAAAAAGTTATAACATGCAAAAGTTGTGACAACAGAATACAATGAGGAAAAATGGTAAGACAAGAAACTTTGATGTCATCAAGGTAGCACAGACCTATGCAAACACTGACCAATCAGAAGGGACAGCAACTAGAGGCCTGGTTCAGGGTCCTGGAGCATCTGCGGGACTGGAGGTGAGCCCTCCAGCTGCAGGAGAAGCAACAAGGCAGACGGGTCTTAGGTCAGGGGGACTGGGACACGTGTACTGCTCAGCGCAGTGCCCCCTAGCGGTCAGGACAAAATCCCCTTGAATATTTTAAAAACCAGAATATCCACCTGGGAGTGTTCTGGCTGAAAATCAGCTCTCCAAGACAGGATGAGGAGGAACACAATACCTGGGCGCAGGGAGAGGTAGTAGTAATGCACAGTATCAGAGAAATGCCTGAGGTGCAGTTTAGCTTGAACTTGGGTTGTTCCTAAGGGATATGTTAGAAAAACGGATTCCTTCTGTTTTCTAAAGGACTGAGACCTGTAATGGAAAAAGAAAAAACTCCAGCAGACCCAGGGTGTGAAGCAGAGTAGAAATAAAAATAAATATGTCTCAGGTGCCAGCCTAGAGAGAATCTACATCCAAGAGTTTTGCATTTGTACCCTGCCCTTACATATATTTGTAAAACCAAACAAAAACTTTACAACATGTTTTGCTGGATGTCATCTTGCAGAGGAGTCACTATTAAGAACTGCGGTAATTTAGAATAGTTCTCCACAGGTTATAATGTAAAGCAGTCTTCTCAAACTTTAAAACACATGTACATATGGACTTCCAAAAAAAAAAAAAAGATTATCATTTGGGAGGTCTGAGGTGAGGCCCAAGATTCTGCGTCTCTAACAAACTTTCAGGTGATATGAATGTATTAGTTCATGAACCCATACTCTGAGAAGAGTAAAGCTGTGGTTTTCAACCTAAACTGAAGATTAAAAACACCTGGAGAGCTTTGAAAATTCCTGATGCCCAGGCATTTTTCCAGAGTAATTAAATTGATACCCTGGCATCAGGATTTTTCAGAACCTCCCAGGTGATTCCTATGTTCAGCCAAGGTTGAGAACTGCTCTTAAGCGTAACCTACCACAGTCATGGAAGAAATACCCATAGCCAGTGAAGAGCTTCTCTAATGATGGCATCTCTAGGATTTTATCATCAATCCTAGTCACAGTGTTAATAGTAAGATAGTAAATCTGCAATTCTAGCTCACTATTAATCTCTGATTCATTACAATCCTTTGTTGAAACTTACTTAAAATATTACAATGTTTAATGCATGTTGTTAGAACTGTGTTATAGATGCCAGACCTTGCTCTGGAACAGTGAAGTGACTTTGGAAGCCTTCCCTGAGCTAGTGCAACAGATGCCACGTAACATAAAATAAGCCAGTGCTTTTCTAGCCTTAAAACAAGATAGTGAAGTGTCTTCTTATAAAGACTATAAAAATCTGAAGACGAGAGTTGAAGACCCAGATGACAAATTGTAAAACAATGTCCTACACAATGGGGCGTATTCCTCCTAGAGTGTAAACAAGATGATCCACGGGGGTATTGGGAAAAAACACAACTTCTATTGTGTTTTTAACCTTAAAGAGAAAAACCCACGAAGTTGACTAGTGCCTTCCTTTGTCTGGGTGTCAGATAGTCAATGCTTACTGTGGAAGCCATACCCTGAGAAGAGGAAGCAGTTCACTGAAGGCTGATAATGGGACCTCATTTAAATATTTGGCTGCACTTTTTTTTCCCCCCCAAGTTCCAGAGGGCAAAGCATTTAATTACATTTCACAACAAGAGAAGAACCATTGTGACTCAACCAAATACGGAACATAGTTCTCTCCAAATTCTACACATACCACTATTTTCTTAATTTATTTAATTTGATGAACAATGAAATCAAGTTTTCCTTTTTAGCATTTATCTAAGATGTAGAAATAACAAAGTAGGTGCAATAAAGTAGGTGAAATATTTAATAAGATTATACAAACATATAAACAACAAACTGTGAAAAAAGATAAAAAGGCTCTCATCTTCAAACAACCCATTTTTCTAAAATGAAAAGTCAGCTCTCCAATGGGGAAAATGATCTGCAGTTGAAATAAGACTCCAGAGCAGCGCTTAAGTTTTCTGCACTCGTTCTTTGCAATGAGAAATGATTACTTAACAGAAAACTTAAATTGAACAGCATATATAAACATCCATATTGCTTTTTTTAGTTAAGGAAGCAATATCTAGTGATCTGTCAAAGCAGATTTGTATTCATGAATTGTCAAAAGACCTACAACACAGCCATGTCTTCTTTGAAAGTCTTTCAATAATTCTGGCCATAGGCTGGATCGGTCAAACATTGTCTCGTGTTTACATCAAGCGAATCGCCAGCTAGTGTAATCAACAGAACTAATACTCAGAGACGAAGTTACAAAAGGACCCCACAGATCAGATTCTAGCAAGTTTTAAAGCCTTCAGCTTGAGGCAAAAAAAAAAAAAGCTAAAAACGTTTAGAGTCTTTTTTGTGGCGCTTTCATAGCAAAGCAGATCTCATAAAAGCAATTAATATTCGTGTGTTATTTTATTAGGGTAAACGTGGATAATTAAACTTGCCGGATAAATGCAAGTAACTGGGGGGGGGGGAACTGGCACTAAAAAACAGCTTTTATAATCCAGTTTTTACTCGTTCATATAAGCGCGGCTGCAATGTGACTGTTTTGTGAGGCTGGACATCAGGTGGCGCTCACCCTTCCTAATTAAGCCCGAGCAGTCCCAGAACATTAACGGGCATTTCAAAATCCAGTCCTGATGTCAAGCATCGAGTTTCGGGCCAGTCACTTTGTCTGAGTCTCGGTTTCCTCACCTGTAAAGTGGGTCGGGGACGGACCAGATGGATTTCCAACCCAGCTCGTCTCTGATTCTCTGTAGTGGTGGTGGCGTTGACTGACTGCGGCTACCGCTGATTTAAACAGCAAAAAATTCGGAAAAGACAGCCTGGGCAAGTGGGATAGAGGTAGACAGTGTAGACAGAGCTCTGGCTGGAAGGCCGGGGGCCGTTTTCGGTGTTTTGGCTTCAACCACGTGGCTTCTTCATTTCCCTGAGGGATCCCAACACAAGGTTACTTCCAGAAAAATTCGAGAGAGAAAAGCGCGGGTCCTACTAAGAATCTGTGCGAGCACCTTCGGAACGCGGGAGCACACCACAAACTTGATTCACTAGGTGGATCTAAACGCACCCCACGGAAACGAGCCCCAGGCTGACTCCCGTCCCAGAGGCGAAGCCCGGAAAGTCACGTGGGGCCGCGGATTGACGGCCTCCCTGGTAGCCCGGGCGGACGTCGAGCGCCACCTCATGTAGGTTGTTCCGTCTGAGCCAGGGTGGAAGCTTTCCCTATCGCCGGAACTAGAACAGCCCAGCTGGATCTTGGATGGTAATCTAAGGGCAAAGGAAATAGATTCTTGCTCCTGGGAGCTTCTTCGCTACACTTCGCTAGTCGCTGTCACGGAACAGCCTCCCTCCATTGCCTCTCGCTGTCCCTGTTCCCCCTCCTGTAGGAGTGCAGTTGGTATCGTCCGCAGCCCGCCCCCGCTCCGCCCCGCCCCGCCCCCGCACGCCGTGGCCTGGGGCCCCTCACGTGACCCCGGCGCGCTCTCGTGGGGGCCCAGACTCTCCGAGGCGGTGCCGCAGGGGGACAGAGGGACGGACGGAGTAGAGTGCGCCGCAGCTTTCGCTGGAACACCAGTGCGGAGGACGTGATGTCGGGGCTCTCCCGCCAGCTGCCTTGGGCTGCCGCCTGTCTGGCCGCGCTCTGTGTGCTGACCGCGGCTCAGAGCCCCAGCCTGGATCCGACCGTGACTCCGATCCCGCTTTTACCGAACACCACCACCGCCAAAACGCCAGTTCCGACGACGGTGACGACTCTTGCGCCGGTGACCATTCCAGCACAAGGTGGGCGCCGGCCCAACGGGCTTCCTGTCTTCGCCCGCCCGCCGCGCAGAGCCGAGCCGCCCGCCCTGCCCGCCCTGCCCGCGATGCGCGCTGGGCCGGGGCCGGGACGGGCCGCGCTCCAGCAACATGGCGGCCCGTCCGAGTCCAGTCCGGGCTGGGATCGGAGTGGCGGGGGTGAGGGAGTGCCCCGGGGAGTAGGGGCGGCCGAGCCCCGTTGGCGGTTGGGCTCTGGGCCACCCCGAAGTGTCCCACGCCGAGGTGCTCTTAAAAAGTGCCTCGTAATCCCCAGTCTCACTTCAGCTTGGGAAGAGGGGACGTGGCTTCCTCCCGCGGTGGTGGCAGTGGGGTTGATGGTGGGGCGAGGCGACTCGCCTCCAAATTGGGGATCAGGTCGAACTCCCTGTGTTTGGGGTTAGTCATTTGCCCACCCAGATCCTGTCTCCGCAAGGGGGCTTCTCCGGGAGTTGGCAAAAGAGGAAAAAAACTGAAGACGTGAATGCCAGTGTCTCCGACTTGAGTCTGAGAAAAGTTGCCTGTGATCTAACCATATTGATTTTGCGGAGAGGTGTCGGGGTATATTTGAGGTTTGGGCATTTGATTAGTTAAAACTTTAAATTTGCTATGTGCAAAAGAAGGAAAGTACCCATTTGTGTACCCGATGCTTCATATATTCTTTTTGGTATCTTAGGCTAAACTGGAAGATAGGTGGTGAAATCTGGGAGGAAGATGGAAATAAAGTGGCTTGCGGGGAGCATAGGTTTAGTTGATTGTGAGCTGGGATTGAAACCCAGGTCGTCGATTTTTTAAACTCTATCAGGAACACACTCTTTGTTAAGCTCTGCGGTCGATTTGGTTACTGGTTGAGTTGTACACTGAATCTTAAAGCAGAAATTGGCAATGCCGTGACAACACAAAAGAGAGGGGAAGATAAGTTTGAGGTGAAAAAGAACTCTAGATATATAAAACCTGATGTAGTGTGATTGGTTATTCTAGTTAATATTGAGTAAGGAATAACTGGCATCTTGACCGAAAAAGTGCTCAAGTGTCAGGATTTTTACCTTGGCTTTCCTCCCCTCCCCCATACGGATCATACTGTTTTGAAGTGTCTTCCTTTGGTTTCTGTGTTTTATAGATAAATAAAATGTATAATTAATATTCAGAAAGATGTAATACTGAAGTTCAAAAACTCTTAAATAAGGAAAGTACATTGCCGTAGAACGCTGGACATTCTAACTGCACTGTTTTTAAAGATGATAGAGCACAATATGTTTTGTCTTCTGCTTATTTGGCAGTTTCTTTCCAGAATTGTAGTTTTGGAGTGTGTTTTTTTCCAAAGAGAAGCTTGGAGATAGCCAAGTTAATTGCCTTTTTGTAATTGAAAGTCATACAAAGGAGATGATTTGTTTTCTGTAAGTAGCAGTTGCATAAACTGTAGTCTAAAATGAAAGGTAGCAAATTTAGTTCATTGTAAAGAACATTGACTGTGCTGTTCAAGAAACCTTTTTACTGTTAAAAATTCCGGTGTCTTAACTGATGTTTGGGGGCAGTGATTTCTCTGTGTGTAGTGTTGGCCTTATAACACAACCTTTTTCCCAATATTTTTATTTTTTTAAGGTTGCTTTGAAATGATTCAAGAAACCCTGAGTGTCTGTGAAATAGTTGCCCTGTAAAAAAGGGTTGTTTAGATAACTGAGCATTCCCACTAGCTTGTGGGTTTTTTCCGCCCTTTCTCTTGAGTTTATTTCAGCGTCATCAGTCATTAATTATGATTGGAATTTCTTATTAAGCCAGTTAATGAAGTGTTTTTGTGTGTGCAGTTAAAAACACAGAAGATCTACCATCCTAACAAAGTTTTAAGTGTACTGTACGTTACTACAGTAAGCACGGTATTATACAGATCTCCAGAACTCTGCATCTTACTTGAAACTGTACCCTGCTTGAGGAGCAGATCTCCATTTCCCCTCCCCCTAGCCCTGGCAGACATCATTCTACTTTCTGCTTCGGAGTTTAACTATTTTAGATACTTCATATAGGAGGGAATCATGCTGTACTTGTCCTTCTTTGAATGTCTGACTTACATAATGTCCTTAAGGCTCATAGATGTTCTAGTGCACGGCAGGATTCCTTTCTTTTATATGTTGGAATACTATTCTTTTGAAAAATGTATACCACATTTTTTAATCCATTCATTTGTTGATGAGTTATAACGTTTTACCGTTTCTCTGAATTAAGTCTGGTACTGTATGTAATGCTCACTTTAGTTTAAAAAAGGTAAGTTGTACAAACTCAAAAGTGAGGTACCAATTGATTGGTTTTATATACCCCTCCCCACCAGATACCTGTGAAAACCGCAGCAGCTGTGTTTCCTGTGTGAACGTTAGCCTTGATAATTCTACCTGCTTTTGGATAGAATGTAAAGGTAAGAAGCTTTGGGATGGCTTTAATTTTGAGAATGCAAACTGTTTTGTTTTATCATTTTAAGATATTCTACAGGGTATTCCTGAACACTTAAAAATTATGTAGAAAATTAGGTGTATTGTGTACTATTTTGCAAATCAAATACTTTTCCTTTAAAGTTCCTATTGCTTAACATTCCGGCTAAAATCTCTGGACTCCCTTTCTGTCCCCACCCCTTTAATTCCTTAGACTTGATAATTAAGGTTTAGTAGCTTTTAAAGAAAGAGAGATTTTAGAGCTTTGGAAGATTAAGAGGACAGGTACACCAAAATCAGCTGTGAAAGAAAGTTGTGAAATTTTCCCCTAAAAATGGTTTCCCAGAAAAAGAAGGCATTTGTCTTCTGCAGGTGTCCTGCTAGATGAACTGTAGAGACCTTATAAAACTTAGTTGGATATTTAGAATATGGGAAAGAGTGAGATGGAAAGAGTTAGAGTTTTTGTTCAATTTTAAAATTAACCTTTAATTTGAGGAATAAGGAGCTAGTTGAAGATACTTTGAAATGCCAATAACGTTTTTGTTAGAACCATGGGATTACAGCAAATTCTGATCTCTTAATGGGAAGTAGTTGCTTTTTTTTCTTATCAGTAAAACAGTTTATCAGGTGTGTGTGTGTATACCTAAAAAACCAAAGCTATGTATTAAGTGTCTTTATTTGTTTAAAAGAAATCTAATATGAGTTCTGGGCAAAATCCTTATGTCACGACATAACATTGTTTAAGAACTTCTTTTTTTTTTTTTAAGATTGATTGATTGATTGATTGATTTGACAGACAGAGATTACAAGTAGGCAGAGAGTCAGGCAGAGAGAGAGGGGGAAGCAGGCTCCCTGCTGAGCAGAGAGCCCGATGCGGGCTCGATCCCAGGACCCTGGGATCATGACCTGAGTGGAAGGCAGAGGCTTTAACCCACTGAGCCACCCAGGTGCCCCTGTTTAAGAACTTCTTATAAAATTAAGGTATTAGCTTAGTTTGGGTTTAAATTTTTTTATTGTGTGAGAGTCACTTTTTTTTTTAACGTCATGGAATGGAATTTAAGTGCGCACCTCTCTCCTGCTGTGTATAGCAGAGTTGGCATGTTTTGGGGCTTGAATGCTCTACTGTAGGATGTGTTGAGGAAGGGTCTCCCTTACTCTTGCTACAAGTTTGGCTGTCAGGAAAACAGTTTTATTAGAAAGTGTAGAAAACCAAGAAGAGATGTGGAACAGAGGTCCTACTGCTGCTAATGGCGTACCTCCTGTGGTTACTAAGCCTTTATTAGATCCTTCCAGCTTCTCCCTACTCATGTGGAATCTAGCAGCCTTTGCTATGCAGGAGTCGTGCCCCAATTCGGATCTAAGTGTTTCCGATTTATCTGTTTAGTGTATTCATGTAGGTTGTAGACAAATATTTTGAGGGATCCTGGGTAATCTTTCTTAATCAGTGAGGGAAAGAGCATAACAGTATTTTCTTGGTCGCTGGACTTCTGAAGTGTTTATGCCTGAGTTTGATTTTTGGAAGCAATTCTGGAGCTTAGTAACAAAAACAAAGATAATATAAACAAGTGATTGGTGCTCTGTGTCTTTTTCCCCCCATAACAGAGAAAAGCTACTGTTCACATAATGCAACAGTTACTGATTGCCAGGTGGTGAATGGCACACAGTTCTGTTCTGGTAAGTATTCACATTGGTTGCTGAGGAAAGTGGCCAAGAGGTGAGGAAGATCTTTGCCTCAGAAGCCTTCTTTCAATATTTGGTTTGCCATTTCTGGCAGTCTGAACTGACTATAGTTTAGACCCTCTCCATTGGCATTTTACTGGACTGGACAATCTTGTTCTGGCCCTTTTCTGGATTATGGTTTTGGTGATTATCACAGCCTCTGGCGTATTTTGTGTTATGGTTGAATCTTTCCTGTATTCATCTGTTTTCTCATTTTTGTACTTTAGTTTGAAGAAATTGGTTACTCTTTAACCTTAAGTCTTTGCTCAGAAAATAGTTAAAATTCCTAGATGAAGCAAATGATTTTCCTAACAAGATTACAAATGGATAGGGAAGTCAAACTTCTGATTTGGTACATAGTTAATAAATAGAGCAAAAGAGCTTTCTGGAGTGTGTTAGTAACCTTGAAAGACTACCTATAACAGTTTTACTTTTAGTGGGGTTTTCCCATCCAAACTTGAACTTCATGACTGAGAATTTGATTAGTATGAGGTCAGTTACCCCTTTTGTAGAATGCGCATAATTTGGTGTAGGTGGTAAAAGAACAAACATTTTTAGTATCTATTTCAATGTGTCAGAAAATAATAATTATATCAAACCTGTGGTTTCATGAAAATAATTGCTTAGAAACAAGGTTAAGTAAAACATTTTAAAAGATACTAATTTAGAGAAAAATTGAATAAATAATTCTACTTAATTTGATGATGTATCAGAATTAGTTTGGACTATGTAGCATTCTATCCCCAGTAGGGACCCAGGCTGTTTACTGTCATTCCTTAAAAATATCTTTGACCTTACTCTCCGAGGTAAGTACTCATGTTCCAGCCATCAAATTGGTTTTTCTGCCAACAGAAAGAGGAAGGAGGCCCGTATCTACCTACAGATGCTTTCTAGAAGTTATACTGGGCTACCTACCTGCAGGGGAGGCTAAGAAATGTGTGTCTTTCTCCAGGCAGGGAAGCGTCACCTCTAGATTGGTGCTTCTATTTCTAAAGAAGGGGAGATCAGTATTGGTTAGAGCAACTGTCAGTCTCCTCCACAAGGTGGTACTTAAATGTAAACATTGTAAAAATGGTACTCACATGACTGCAGTTTAAAAAAAAGTGTAATGGATTGTATTATTTTAGATTGTGCTTTGACTTAATGTTTGTTTGTTTTAAATAGCACCTGAGCCCACTCCGATGCCCACGAATTCTACAGGTAATACAAGATAATTGACTCTTTCCTCCTCTTTCAGGATTTGTGAGGTCTCTCGATGGACTTTTTAGTGATTAAATACCTAAAAGTTGTTAGTATAATTTAAAAAGTTGGTAGATGTATTTGGTCTTGAACCATAACGATTACATGAGTATGAACTGTTCGTGCCAGTGTCATGGAATTCCAGTGTTTGGCGTTTATTGACTATGGGAGGATTTGCTATGGACATTGAGTCCACAAACTGCTTTTCGTGGATTTTTTGAAGATCTTGGGAAATACAGAAGCCTAAAGAAAATTAAATTCCCTGTAATTCCCATCATCCAGAGGTACACCAGGATGTTTTCAGTGATAAGGTTTTCCCAGTCTTCTCTCTGTGTATCTCTCAATAGATTTATTATGAACTTGCGTAAGATGCCCACGCACATTTGAATTGTTTTCTCTTTTACATTGTTGTATGTGTATACACCTTACTTAACCTGCACTTGGTTGGATAGTTAGGTCATCTTTCATTCTTCCTGCAGCACTCGTTCCTGTTTTGATGTTATCCCTGACAGAATTGATTCAAACAGCATTCCTAGGTCAGAGGATAGGCTTATTTTAAGACTGAATATTGATTGCTTTCCAGAAAGATATGCTTTTCATTCCCATCAACAGCTGGGAAGTTTTCACTACCCCTTCAACAGGATTAGATAATTTCTCCTTTTAAAAATCTTTACCAAAGTGATAGGAGGAATAAATCATTAAAAAACTTCTACTCCAGGACAATAGGCTGGATGATAGGGACTGGAAACAGCAGACAGTGTTTTGTCTATTGTAGTAACTGTGACACGGGTAAATAAGCACAGTGTTTTGAGACATTTGTAGGCAGGTGTGTGTATGGAGTAATATGGCAAATGTGGTGACAACTTCCTGGAGATGTTGACTGACTCTTGAAATGACTCTGGTAAAACATGACGGTAGCTTTCCAAGTGGAGCACGGTGGTCGGTACACGTGAGGAGTGTGAAGGAGTATAGTGAGGTTCAGGAATTGCATCTGGATGTGCATGGTGAGGAAGGGTTGAGCTGAACAGTCAGCAGGCCGAGAGCCAGATTGGGAGGACAGGTTGGAACAGGAGACAAGAGTGAACACAGGGAGATAGGAATAGATGACCCATGAGGGGAATTCTGGAGAACTATATGGGAAGAGTTGCAGATGTATGCAAATAGACTTAGGAGGTAGGAAGGATAGGACTTGATGGAGGTGATGGCCGACTCGTAGCTTGACCACGCAGGCAAAGCTGATCAGTGTAGGCAGTAGTGGTGTCCCCTGGAACAGCTTGTAGAGAGAATAGGACTTGAGGACCCAACTCCAGGGGATGGAAATATCTAAGGGTTGAGAAGAGGATCAGAGAGGAAACTGAGTGGGGATGGGCAGAGAGGTGTGTCCAGGAAACTGTGTGTGTGTGTTTTTTTGGTATAATTTTTCAGAGGAAAAAGTGATCAGATGCTGAATCAAGGACCAGAACTCATGGAAAGACTTCGGTGGTGGTGAGCTAGCTCACACCGGCTTGCGGTGGCCAGTTGTGCGTAGCTCTTCCCAGCTACACATTCAGTGAGACTGCATTGGGAGCTTGAATTACGGTGGAAATATTCTTGCCATAGAAATCTGCAAATGCTATAGAACTTTTGGAGAGCACACAGTGGTAACACCCATTGGTAGTCACTGACTAGGAGGATGTTAAAAGATTGATGAAAGCAGAGATGTTAAGGAAAAATTAATTTCCAGAAGGTGGGATATGAACCAAAAGGGGAAAACAGTTTCTTCAGAACCATTGTGGGTTCACTTTTAATTTCTTCTCCATGAACCTTGATGTAGTTTTCGTGCTTGATCCACATGGGGTTCTCCAGTGAGGTACCATGGGGTCTCTCTAGTTTTCTGTCTCTCGTTCCATAAGTGGAAGGAGGCCAGGGTTTGCTTATAGAAAATGCATCTGTTGAGTGGCAATTCTTCAAAATCCTTTACGTGGTCTCTTTGCATGGCTATTGCTGAAAGAGAGCAAGTGAGAAATTAAGGGATTATTAAAGAAATGACGCAAAGAGAATTTGATTTATGTAGAAAGGTGTTCAGTGGGGTTAATTACAACAGTCTTCTGTTAGTACCTATAAATATTATAAATAAAAATAGTTGTAAATAATCTCTTATTATTTACAGAATGGCTAGATTACATCAGATATCTAGTGGGAAATTTTCATAATAAATGGAAGATAAACCGTTAAGCTCTGCTATTTTTTAAATTTTTATTGTTACATAATTGCCTAGTGAAATGGCCAGCAGGAAATGACATGTTATTCTGCATGATGGGATTACTTAGTTTACTATGTTTTTTAAAATTTTCCATCACCAGTAGCAGCTTTTGTTAACTGCTAATTACTAATTTTTTTTTAGTTTGTAAAGTGTTATTTTTTGCAGCAACTTTAAAGGGATTAAAAATCTAGGAATTCTGTCTAAGAATCAGCCATGCCAGAGGGTGAGATGAGGTATTTCCCTGCTGGCAAAATGAGAGGTGACCTAATTGTCCACCCAAGAGCAGGGTAGGGAAGATATGTGCAATAGTGCTCATAGTGAGAGAAAAGGATACAAGCATGTAATCCCATCAGTATTGTTAACATATCATTGATTAGAATCTGTTAGTAGTATCAGTACTAACAGAAGTCTGTTAATAAAGTGCTTTGGTTCCTAAAATGTGTTTACATTCCAATTAATTCTTCTCACAGGAGTTCATTTTCTTTACAGGCATTGTCAGATCATTTAAATTGGGGGAATCTGTGGCCCCAGGGGACCTGTTCTTAAAATAACATTTTATTGGAACAGAATGATGCCTGTTGTTTTGCATGTCGTCCTCGGCTGCTTTTGCACTATGTGCTGCACAAAGCTGAAGGTGTTCACTGTCTGCCAGCCGCTCGAAATGAAGAACATAAGCCAGCCTTGATACCTGCTTGAGAAATCCCGAGCCCCACTGGTTTCTTACCATGACTTTTTAAGTTAATAGTTTTTGTCATAGAAGCATTAAAAAACCTATTGTTCCCTCACCTGATCACTGATTCTTGCCCTCCTGTGTGTCTTTTTGCAAACTTTATCCAGATGTATACATAGATTTCATACTCCGATATATACATAGATGTTAACACAGATAGTTTTATGCTTGCTTCGCGGTAATTTAAAGACTCGTAGCCTGGCCACGTAGATGTGTTAGTGAGCCACTACCTGAAATTTGGCCTTTAGTCTTTGGAAAATAGAAAGCCTGTTGAAGTTGGCAGCATTATTTTAAAAAGACAAATGGCTAGATACTGGGAGGTTTGGAAATGTAAGTTACTAGTAAGTTTTGTTTCTGTTGCAGCCAAAACCACCACCCTGCCAGCCACCTCAACCAGCACCACCACAGCTCCTACATCAGGTGAGGAGGGGGTGTGAACTGTCGGTGACGTGGGGGTACGTTTGCGGCCTTGCCTTGTGCTATTTTTGCCCCCATTTTCCAGTTTCATTCATGAATGGTTGTGAACTAAAACTCACCTCTTAAACATTTGGAGGACCAGGATGGTAGGCTGTTAGTGCAGGAATGGTAGGTTTGCTGCGAGTCCCCATTTTTTAACACATAGCCATATTTGGCCTGACACATTAGAGTTAAGAGATAGTGTTTTTCTAAAACCCTTTTACTACAGCTTGTCGGTGAGATCTCATTTCTTATAACTTAAAAATTAAATACTGATGACTGTTAGGAATTAATTTTGTGCTGTGTTTAGGTCATGACAATTGGAGTGAAGATAATTTAGCCATCCTTTTTATTGAGAAAGATCTAAAGAGCCAAGATCACTGCAAATGGACACCTTGGCCATGTTTCTTGCTATTTCTTTACATTCCTTTATAACTGTTAAAAGTGCATGTGAAAAGTAACGTTTATTAATTAATGATTTGCTGTGTTGTAAACAAAAGTCACATTTAGGTGATGCCACAAGACATTGCAGATACACAGGTTATGAATCCTTCTCTCTATCCCTATTTAAAATACTGGTGTTTGGTTTTGATTTTTTTTTTTTTTAAGTTTTTTGACTTATTCTTATGCAACCTTTCTTGGTTTCAAGGAAACCATTTTGTCTTTGCAAGAATTACAGAATAGTTGTGATTAATTTTAAAGCTTGGGGCACCCGGGTGGCTCAGTCAGTTAAGTCTCTGCCTTCAGCTCAGGTCATGATCCCAGGGTCCTGGGATCAAGCCCCGCATTGGGTTCCTTTTTTGGGGGTTGGTGGGGGGATCCTGCTTCTCCATCTCCCTCTGCCTGCAGCTTCCCCTGCTTGTGCGCTCTCTCCATCTCTCTCTAACAAATAAATAAAATACCTTAAAAAAAAAAAATTGAAAGCTGGCCACCTTATTATGCAGCCACCAGAACCAGTGTTTATTTGAAACTCTACTTAGAAAAAAAATTATTTTAAATATGAAACTGCTTTTTATTAAAATGGATGGTGTTCTACTTGAAACTTTTTATACCCTAAAAAGAAATTCATGTTCTATTTCCTATTGAAACATTTTTTTCTCTGAAAAGGGAATTCAAACTTTTGTGCTTTTATTCCATATGGTTTGGTAATGCTCATAATATAAAATTTTAGAGTAAGATTTACAATACCTTTAATAACAAGTTTATTTGTTAAATTTATAAAGTGCAGATACTTAAGATAATTTTTGTACTTCGAAAAATTGCAACTGAATTTTTGCTTACCTTGTATATTTAATAAAATTTAAAAGTTACATGAGTTTTCAACGCAAATATTAATATTTAGTGTAACAATTAACTAACAGCATGTTTTCTGAAGAAATTACAGATTTTTAAAGTGCTTGACACGTTCTCAGGGCATAATTTATGTACCAGGAGAATTTTTCTCTGTCATTTTCATACTTGAATTTGAACGGCAGCTTTGACCACTTGATATTGCTAGATGGAGTGAATGGGATAAATTCTAGTTGTAAAGACTTGACTCAAGAGGACATACTTTATAGAATTTAACTCATGGCAAAGTCAAAGTATACGCTCATGCGGGTCTTGAAATTCTGAGTAGAGGATCATGGGACTTTCTAAGTCTCATTATCTTTTCTTCTTATTTAACAGGTACAACTAATACCACTTTAACTCCAACTTCACAACCCGGGAGGAAGTCAACCTTCGATGCGGCCAGTTTCATTGGAGGAATTGTCCTCGTCCTGGGTGTGCAGGCTGTAATCTTCTTTCTCTATAAATTCTGCAAATCGAAAGAACGAAACTACCACACTCTGTAAACAGACCCATTAAATTAACAAGGACTGGTGTGTAACTCACTGAAACCAAAATATTCTCTTTCAAGATGTCCCACGTGGAAGACGCTATTCCAGGATCTGTACACATTCAAAGGATGCATATAGCATACTTGGGAGCATCATCTCGAAGAAAAATCACTTAAATCATTTTGCTCAACAGGAATATTTAAAATATTCTGCATGAATCCTTGTGGCTGTCTTCTTTTATTTTCAATGGCTGCTGCTGTGGGATTATGTTCTCTCTTCTTGACATACCAAATGTAACTCTGTAAGTGGTGGGGAGCATTGTCCTGCACACACACCTCATGACTCTTCTGGCAGTTTAAATTTAGTCCTTTTAAAGCCTGAAAGCTGCATCATTTTTATCCTATCTCAGGATGTAGTTTAGTGACCAGAATTGAGAAGAATGTGCCAAATGAGCATCAGTCAGGTGGACTTTTGGCTGTCCTTTCAAAAGTGGAGTAAGTCGGTAAATCTAGTATCCTTAGAGTAAATTGTATCCTTAGCGTAAAATTTTGTGCTTGATAACCGTTATTTTTTCTACATTAGAAATAAGATGCCACACAGGGAATTACATTCCAGATTTAAAGAAACGAATGGAAAGGATACAAACCATTAACAAAGCAGGTTATCATTCATACTTGCAAAGCACCTTAAATCACTGAGAAAATAAAGAACAGTGCCTTAAAAGACAGACTGAAAGGTAGGCTGTAACTTCAAATGTTCCTGATTTGTTCTTTCACATTAAGGAGGGTAAAGTTTGGTCTGATGATCCAACTGTTGACAAGCTGTAGCAAACCTGCTTTTAGATACCATGCTGGTGGTAACTGAAAACTTAACTATTTTGTTTCAGACCTGAGCAAGTTAGGCTAAAGGATGTTCTGCAAAGTTGAAAGCCTTCATATATTGAACTTCCAACGTTTTTCTTAGGCTGTTAAAAAGTATAAAGCTAAAGTTGATTTTCTTACGTTTTTCCTTTGTACTTCAGGAAGTATCCCCACACTGTTGTACCTTGAAAGGATTTTTCACCAAGCTTCCTTGAAAAGTAACTTTTTTTTTTTTATGAGGCAAGAAGGAAATAAGTTGTTTTAGAGTCATTTACAGCTCTTGAATGAGACAATCATTTTAAGTTTTGAGACCAGAAATGTGACCAGTGTAATTTCAGAAAATCTGAGGATTTTTCGGTTGATTGGATTACTGTAGATTTTTTAATGATGATTGCCCTGGATAGACGGATTGTGCTTTCTTTTCTTTCTTTCCCTTTTCTCTCTCCCTCCCTCCCTCCCTTCCTTCCTTCCTTCCTTTCTCCTTTTCTCCCATTCTTTCCTTTTAGTTGCAATTCCTATAGTACATTAAGCATGCGTACTTTATTATTTTTTTTTAGTTTCTTTAGGAAGCACTAGTTTTTTCAGTTTCAGAGGGATACGTCTCCCCTGCCTTTGACATACTGGATTAGTTCAGAGGTTTTCATTAGTTTTAAAAAAGCTTTTGCTCTTCTAGGTCATTAAAAGGTTTTTTTTTTTTGCTTGTTTTTGGTTTTGTTTTGTTTTTAGTTTCTTTAGCCTATAGGGGCTGAGTTTAGCACTTGGTTTTCAATATTTTGTAGTAGGAAATGAGGAGTTGCTTTGGTCCATTTCATAAGCCAAAATTCCTTACATTTAGATATGATTATATTCAAGGTTCTTAAAATGAAGATTTACTGTTTCTTTGTTACTTGCTGGTACAGCTAGTTTGTTTTACTTGCACATTTGTACATACACTTAATGTTTTCAAGTGCCTTAATTGTTTAAAATTTCTGGCTTCAAAGGTTTTTGGGAAAAGGTAGGTTTACCTCACATTTTTGTGTTTTCATTAGTAATATTCTGATACCAGTTTTCGGAACCTCACAAAAATTTTTATTATGGTGCCATGGCTGTTAGTTTTTAGTGAGTGCTGTAAGATCCAAGAATCATTTGAAAAAATACAGAGTCTCCATTTCTCCCAAAGCGGCAAAATTTAGCTACAGTGATATATAATTATCATTTACCTAGATATGAATACCTTGTCACACATTAATGTCAATATATCTGTTTTTGTGAAAATGTAGCTGATGAAGCTTCTCATCTTGTGTAATCTTGAATCCTGCTCTGACAACAGAACCATAATATGAAACCAGTTAGATTTTGCAAGAAGAGCTCTTAAAACGGAACTCACAGCCTTTTCCCCCTTTCTTTAGTATCTTGAGCCGTTAATAATTTGTTTTTTTTTTTAATCCAGAAGGTACAGAAACGTTTTTGGATTTTTCTCCTGATTTGTTCATGTGGATGTAGTTCTATCAAAACACCTTATTTTACCTTACAGATACTTGTTGCACAGGCAGACACTGCTGTATTTAGAAATTTCTATTTCAGTTCATTAAAAACTGCAAAACCAATCTGTATCATGTACCAAACTGATTTAAAATAAATCTACATGTTAATTGAATTAATCTGTTCTTTTTTATTAACTGAAGTGTTTTTGCATTTTGATGATGAAATTTAATGTTCGTAAATTTACCTTATCAGTCTGTTTGGGGATGGGCTGTCTGCTCACTCTCTATTGCTCTCCAAGACCAGTGGCTAGTAGCAGATCCGCATTCGTCAGAAACTTGTAGTGCTTTAGTGCTCTCAGCACGGTAATGTTGATCCGTTGTGTTCTCACGTGCATTGTTCTCTGAGAAATCTGTCCTCTTCGTCTTCTGTTCCTCTGCACATGTCTTTGTTTTCCTTTGTTGCTTTTTAAGATTTTTCTCTATGGCTGTTCGAGCAATTTGAAGTGATGTGCTGTGCTAGTTGTTCTTGTGCTCGGGGTTTGTTGGGTTTCTTGGATATATGCTTTTCAGATTTGGACATTCTCAGCTGTTATTTCTTCAAATTTTTTTTTCTATCCTTTCCCTTCTCTTTTGGGGATTCTAATTACGTGGGGGCTGCTGAAAGTTGACCCACAGCTCATTCATGCACTGTTTAGTTTTTTAATTTAATCTTTTTCTGTTTCATGTCAAATTATTATGTTCAAGTTCACTAATGGCTAGTTTAATCTGTTAATCTTAGTGTGTTTTCCATTTCAGATGTCTTCGTTTCTAGAAGTTCATTTTGGGTGTTTTTATATCGTTCATGTCTCCATACCCATTCTTTAGTTTTTGAGCATGCAGTGGTTGGTTTTTTTTTTTAATGCTTATGTCTGCTAATTCTAATACTGGGTCAGTTTGATTATTTTTCCTCTTTATGGGTCATGCTTCTCCTGTTTCTTTGCGTGCAAGATGTAAATTATAACCTGTTGGGTGCTGGTTATTTTTGTTCTCGTACAGAGAAAACAGTTTGATCCTTTTTAGGTCTTGGCGTTTTAAACTTTGTTAGGTGGGAGCAGAGCAGCATTTATTGGAGGGCTAATAGTTGTCCAGTTCTTAGGCAAGACCCTTCTGAGTACTCAGTGCCCCTGGATTACGAGGCTTCCCAGTCTGGGCGAGCGGGGACAGGCTCTTTTCCTAGCCTTGTGCGGGCTTCCGAGTACTGTTTCCTGGAAACCTTTCCTAGCCGTGGGTAGCTACCTCCTGCGTCTGCTGATCGTCATGTTGCTGAGACTGTACTCCACAGATCTCTGGAGTTCTGTAGCCTTCCATGGCGGTGCTCTGCTCTGGAACTCCAGCTGCCTTCAGCTGCCGTGACTTCCAGCTCCATCTCCTCAACTCAGGAAGTGCACTCGGCTCTGTCTGGGCATCCTCTCCCCGCATCATGGCTTAGAAATAAGGGGCAGTTGTCTGGATCCATAGTTTCCTGTCCTTCAAGGATCGTTGTCCTTTGCCCGAAGTCCAGTGTATTGAAAACTACTGTTTAATGTGCACTGTCCAGTTTGAGGGCAAATGCAGTCTCAAGATGGGACCTTTAAAGTTTTAATTTTTATTTCAAGGAATATATAAATACATATTCTTAATTTTTTTTCTTAAACTATACAAGATAAGTATGTCTGCTTTGACTGTCCCTCAATCCCTTCCCCTTGCCGGCTCCTCCACTTTGCAGAGGTAATTAGTGGAACTGGTCTGGTGTTAAACACCCCCTCCGCCAGCATTTTTTTTATATATTGTATGTATCCTTAGAAAATAACATAATGTGGATTTTTGTGTTAATATTAGCCTGCAACTTCTCACTCACTACTTGGAGATCTCAAGTTAGTGTATGTAGCTATACCAAATTCTTCAATTCTCTGAGGGCATATGTAGTATGAGTATCATAAGTATCTGCTTATGGAAGGATAGTAGGTTTGCAATTTTTAGTTTTTAGTAACACTTGCAGAGCAGTATCTTTGCACCTACCCCCTTGTTTATGTGTGAATTTCTGTCTAGTGTAAAGGTAGAGAAGGGGAGATCTGTGTCATAGGGTTTACACTTCGAGCTTTTTATATTTAACTCATTTTTAAATTTTAAATTCAATTAATACATAGTGTATTGTTAGTTTCAGAGGTAGAGGTGAGTGATTGGTCAGTCTTCTATATAACACCCATTACATCACTGCCCTCCTTAATGTCTATCACCCAGTTACCCCATCCCTCACCCCTTCCCCTCCAGCAATCCTCAGTCTGTTTCCTATGATTAAGAATCTCTTATGGTTTGTCTCCCTCTCTGATTACGTCTTGTTTTATTTTTTCCCTCCCTTACCCTATGCTCCTCTGTTTTGTTTCTTAAATCCCATATATGAGTAAGATCATATAATTGTCTTTCTCTGATTGACTTATTTTGCTCAGTATAATACCCTCCAGCTCCACCCACACTCTGTACATTTTAACAAACTGAGATTGCCTTCCAATTCCCACCAGCCAGTGTACCTGAGAGTTTCTATATCCTTTCCAACTGATATTGGCAAAGTTTTAATACTCTGGTGAGTGAAATGATTTACTTGGTTACTGTCCTTAATTTGTACTTCCTCTGTGAATTGTCTTTTTCTATCGTGTCTTATTAATTGTAGGATTTTTTCTCTTAAAACGTGCTGGGTGGTCATCTATGGTCAAATGGATTTTCTTTGATACATTCTTCAAGTCTTCATCTTTGATTATGGTGTCCATATCACAAGAGTACAATCAGGAGATCGAAGCCACAAATATGAACAGGGGAATTTTGACCTAAGAGTGGATTGGAGGGATAGGACATATTATCTGTAATAATTTTTTTTAAAAGATTTTATTTATTTATTTGACAGAGAGAGAGATCACAAGTAGACGGAGAGGCAGGCAGAGAGAGAGAGAGAGGGAAGCAGGCTCCCTGCTGAGCAGAGAGCCTGATGCGGGACTCGATCCCAGGACCCTGAGATCATGACCTGAGCCGAAGGCAGCGGCTTAACCCACTGAGCCACCCAGGCGCCCCTTATCTGTAATATTTTAAGAAATACAAACAAAGCAGTGAAGAACTCTGAAGAATACTGGCATAGCAAATATAAGAAGTGGCTGCTCTCTGTCCTCCCTCAAGCCAAATTCCAGAAATATTAACGTTACAACCTTGGCTCTCTGGATGAAGTTTGTGGTAGCTGCAAATCCACCACCGGGCAGCTATGGGGAAATGATATGCTGGTGGTGACCTGCGAAGCCATCCAAGGGGGTGCAGGGTAAGCCATGTTCAAGAGGGTACTACAGCAGCGACACCACAGTGCTCAGATGTGTGCACTGCTAAAGTTTTGCCCAGAACCAGGAAAAGAAATTCCTCCAGTGCTGTCTGACAAAACATCACGCCACCTAGCAAAGAAGTATTCATTCAACACCATTGTCATAATGGTGGAGCGGGCAACAGGTGGATTCAAAGCTTAAAGTCCTTTTTTCTGTCAATTTATGATCTCCCACTACTTAATATTTATTTTGCCCTTGCTGAGAATCTCAAGTGGTCAGTTCTCCTGGTGGTGACCCAAATATTACTACCAAAGGGTGTGAGTCTTCTACTGTTCTATTTTGGTTGCGTAGATTTTCATTAATCTTTCCTATTGGGTATAGAAGTGCTCAGGCACCTAGAGAACCACCATGCTCCAGATATGGCCTTTGCCTCCACTGTGTACCAGCACTACAATCTCCCCTTGATAATAAGGATCGACCATTCCAGCCAGTAGGGTAACACCTTTCACTGCCTGTTGGTTTAGTGGCTTATGAATCCCAAGATGGCCAAGTGGCAGTCTCACCTTAGATCCTAAATCAATAGACCCATTGTTGTATCTCTGGTTGAAACAAACCTTCGGAACTAAGACCTCCAAACCAGCTCAGCTTGAGGTTCCTGAGATGAGAAGTATCACCGTGAGTCATACCCACTTCTACCTCTTGATTCCTGGGTACGTATGCTACCTCTGTGAGACAACTCCATCCTTTCAAGGTGGTTACAACTGAGTTACAACGAGTTTTCAGTGAATTATCCCACCTTTCAGTCAGCCCAGCCACTTCTGGGTGTTGGGGCATGTTAATTTCACAGGCATGAGTTTACTGCAACATTTCCTTTACTGTGAAATTGACTCCTTAGCTAGAAGCTGTGCTAAAGGAAATGCTGTGACAGTGGATAAAGCATTCTGTGAGTATATGCATCAGCTAGCAGTGCTGGCAGGAGCATTATAGACCATATTCAGAATGTGTATATTCTACCAAAGATGAATCTCTGTCCTCTATGATGGAAAAGGCCCAATATAATCAAATTGCTATCACATGGATGGTTGTTACCCACGAGATTAATACCGTATTCAGCCTCAGTATTGGTCTCTGCTCCTGAGAGATCAGACAGTAGTCAGTAGTGCATGTCAGCCTTGATAAGGGGAAATCCATGTTGTTGAGCCCATGCATAGGTCACATTCATGGGTCCATTGAACAAGCACTGGGGTAGCTGGGGAAAGAGACTGACACCCATAGAGTGCATTCTTTTATCCACTTGATTAATAAGAGCCTTCTTTGCCGTAGATGCCCTTCAGTGACATGGGATATGAATATCTTGAGTGTGTTCCCATTCCGAGATCCATCCACATTTACTTTTCACCAACCTTTACTATTTCTTCCAAGTCTAACTGTCCAACCAAATCACTAGCAACTACCCAAGAATTCGTGTGGATTTGTACTTCTGGCCATGTCTCAGATCAGACACCATGGACAATCAAATGCACTACTTGCAGTTCTCACAGGGAAGATTTTCTTGCACCCCTTCTTTTTTTTTTTAAAGATTTTATTTATTTTATTTGACAGAGATCACAAGTAGGCAGAGAGGCAGGCAGAGAGAGAGAGAGAGGAGGAAGCAGGCTCCCTGCAGAGCAGAGAGCCCGATGCAGGGCTCGATCCCAGGACCCTGGATCATGACCCGAGCCGAAGGCAGAGGCTTTAACCCAATGAGCCACCCAGGCGCCCCTCTTGCGCCCCTTCTATTTAGATCCACTCCTGAGCTCCATGGTGCTGCAGTTGTCCACTTTTGGGTGGATCCAATATATCATGCAGACCTATCTATAAACCAGGTTTAATTTTTTTTTTTCTTGGCTAGCTAGTTGTTAGAAACACTCCAGACCAGAGGTATTGATTGAGGAAGAGGCAGCAACAGGCATTGGTGCTGAAAGAGTCTGAGCCACATGTTCACGGAAGCTATTTGTACCTTTCGGACCTGTTCCAGAAAGTTAAGTCAAGTGTATACTATTTCCATTGATAACAGATTGCTGCTGTGCATGCTCAAGTTTATGACTAGGCAGACTCTCAAACACCCAAATCATGATGTGAAGCTTAGGCTATCTGCTCACCTACCACCTCTTGGTTGGGTAATCGGTCTCTACAAGGCACAGAAGGAGAATAGTTGCCTTCAAAAGAGGGCAGGGATTTGCTGCAGAACCCTAAGGTTTGCCCTGTATTTCTGCTTGAGAAGGGCTCCATATGTGCCAGGATACTTCTAGAATCACTGGCTCTGCTGGATCATAGGACCTATATGGCAGAGCAGTTTATACTGTAACTCAAGTTCATGACAGAACCTTCTCTTGCTAGGCTCCCCGCTCCAAATTGGTAATCTTACAGATAATTCTAGAGGAGGGTTGAAATAGCCAACTCAAATATTGCACATGTTGCCTTCAAATCCAAAAAGGCCTACTGAGCATCATGCCTTTTTTTTCACAGTATATGGTGTAAGCCTAAGCAAACTGCCTTTCTCCTTAGAGGAAGACACTTAACATGCTCCAAAACCTTGAGCCCCCAGAGACTTCACTGGGGTTAATAGCCCTAAATTTCTGTGGAATTTGTCCTTTACCTTCTAGTTCTTGTATGTCTTACTAAGACACTAAATACTACCTCCTACTCATCATATCCAATCAGCATGTTGTAAACATAGTGTCTTTTGTAGAATATCATGATGATTAAGCTCTCTACAGACTATATCATGGTAGGGAGTAGAATTGACAAAGCCTTAAAGCAAGACCCCGACAGTATACTGCTGCCCTACCAGGTAAAAGCTAACTGCTCTTCATGGTCCTTACAATTTGTTATGGAGCAAAAGGCGTAACAAATTGGGTCAACAACTGCATAACGAAGGCCAAGAGGATATTCATTTGCCCCAGTAAAGATACTACATCTGAGACAGCAGCTGTGGTTGGAATCACTACCTCGTTAAGATGGGAATCTGATAGTCCCTAGTCATTTTCCAAGATCCACCTGTTCTCTGCACAGGCCAAAGTGGTGATTTAAGTGGCAATGTGATAGGTCTCATCATCCTTGTTTCCTTAACGTTTTGAAGGTGGCATTAATCTCTGTAGTTTCCCCAGGGATATAATTTTGCTTCTAGTTTACTTTCCAGAAAGGGGAAGTTTCAGGGGCTCCCAATGATCTCTTCCTAAAATAATGAGGCTTCAACTCATGGGTTAAAAACCAGTATAGGAGTCTTTTCAGTTGTTTGTGTTGTCTGTTCCAATTATACATTCAGGAACTGTGGAAATAACCACATGGTGGGCCCATGGATTGACTGGGTCCACTGTAATTTGAACCTGAGACTCCTTCTGCTACCTCACTTGTAAGCCTTCATTTTGACTGTTGAGCCACTGTGTGCTTTGAGTTCCCAAGAATCAAGATTTTGTTTTTTAGGAAGACTCCACACCCAATGTGGGGTTGGAATCTGGGTGAGAGACTATGACTCTCCTCTACGCTGACTCAAGCCAGGTTTCTGACTACCAGAGTTTCTCCTGTTGTATAGATCAAACAATATTCGAATTGGCTGCCCATGTGATTTCATTTGGGGACACACACTGACCACCAAAGATCTCTATGTGCCAGGTCTATAATCTGACTACTGACACGTCCCTGCTGCCCCTTATAATAGACATACCTACCTTGTCGTTGGCCGTTGTCTTCTGCTATTCTGGGACTGCATCATAACCGCTGAAATGAGAGAGCTCATCTCAACAGCAATGAGAAATGACAAGATTGTGATTTCAACTGTCATTGTATTAACATTCTGCACAATTAAAAATTGTGCTTGATTTTTTTTTTTTTTTTTTTAGCATTATTACCCCTATGACTACAAGAAATAAGAGATTTTTTTTTGAAGGCTGCTATGGAAGTTCTCTGGTTTTTAGACCATGATCCGAGCTGAGAATTAAAGGACCAGAGCTTGTCATTTTCTTCTGTAAGGGCTAAAGTGCATCCAAGAAAGTCCATCCCACACCCCGGTATTTATGGTCATGATTATTGCCATGAGAGTCAGTGTGGTAACAATTTAAGCTCCCGAAGCACATGCTTCAAGTAGGTACTTCATCGAAGTCAACGTGGGTAGTAACTTGGTTAATTGTCATGCCATTGCATGCAAGGGATTACTAGTCTTCCATTTCTTATTGTCAAGGAGCTCAGCATTGTGTCCATGCCCAAGGGTGCAACCAAGCAAATCCCCAAATCCCATCCTTGTGAGTCTGTCCCCTAAGACCACTCCACTACTGGTATCAGTTCTGTATTATTGAACTGTATCAGTTCTGTATTACTCATGGGTCAATTAAAAGAACCCCCACAGTAATCCAACTGTGAGAAAGTTTAATAAAAAGGATTATTAACTATAACAAGGGGTTGACGTAATGGGAGGACCGGCTGGGAAGCAATAAAGAGAGCTCTGAAGAAAACAGGGATAGCAGATATAGTGAGCAGCCACGACCCTCCAGAGCTGACATAAACTGGAGAGGGTGTGACCGCAAAGGCTCACTGGATGGCAGAGAAGTTCACTAAGGCTGGGAAGTAGCCCTCAGGAAAGGAGGAGCAGGAGGAGAAAGCCCTTCACAGAAGGCGCCATGCCAGTGGCCCTCCACCAAGAAGCTGCATGCTCCCATGCGCATTCTCACACAGAAGCATGTCAACATAGCAGGAACCTGCCAAGAGAAGCACCCCAGAACCTCCTTCTTCAGGATCCCTCCAGTACTCTCTCCTGACAAAGCTTAAAATCTTGCAGTGGGCAAAGAAGAAAGATTTACAGGGTCCATATTAATTATATTATAGCAGACAAGGATAAATTTAGAGCTGAGAGGCATAAATTGATAACTGGTACCATATTGTCATGTTGTCATGTTGAATTTGTAGCTTTGACATCCAAGTCATCAATCTTCCTCTTGGCTTTTGTTTCTCATGTTCTACTTAAGAAATAAGTTTGTGTGGGGGCGCCTGGGTGGCTCAGTGGTTTAAAGCCTCTGCCTTCGGCTCAGGTCATGATCTCGGGGTCCTGGGATCGAGCCCCGCATGGGGCTCTCTGCTCGGCAGGGAGCCTGTTTCCCCCTCTCTCTCTGCCTGCCTCTCTGCCTACTTGTGATCTCTGTCAAATAAATAAATAAAATCTTTAAAAAAAAAAAAAGAAAGAAGTTTGTGTGTGTGTGTGTGTGTGTGTGTGTGTGTGCATATAGATCTTGAATCCATTTGGAATTCATTGTGTATAGTGTAAGGTGATAATTTATTCTACTTGAAATAGACTCAACCTTACCCTTAATTTGAAAAGTTAAACAAATATAATATATAAATATATGTATGTAAATGTTTCTCTGGTCTGTTCTGTTCCATTCATCTACCCATTTATTCCTTTACTCAGGATACATTTTCTTGTCTGAACAAAAAGGCTTGCATTAGGACTTCGCAAAACTCTGAAGAGGGTCTCAGTATTTGTAGGCAGAATAAAAAACTAGTTAAGAGAGGATGATGTTCTTAAGTGAAACAAATAGAAATGAGTGCTCTGAAATATATTGAGATTAATCTTCTCTGGTTTTTCACTTACTAAAAATTACTGCTTAGCAGCAATGCACTCTCTCCTGGTTCGCACACCTCATCAGTAATCTGGAACCCACAATGAGAGGCTGTTGATTGACCAAAGCTGAGGCCCAGGTTGTAGAAGTGCAAATCAACTCCTAGTTCCTAAAACCTAGGGCCGAGCACTACTTCACCTGGGACATTGCAGATATAATCATCTCAGTCCTTCCACACTGTCTTCATAGTACTGATAATAAAAATTAGATCAAGGTTTCATTGAGGTTAGAATCATTTTTATTCATTCAAATGCTCAAGGAAATAAAATGTGGAAAAGGATATATGATTACCAGTCAGGTCTTTATGGGATTATGGATGGAGTTGTGTGAACTTGAAAAGCTGAACATTGAACATTTTCTGCCACATTGGGTAGAAAGACGTTGTCAGTCCTTCTTTCGTGTTTAATAGGTACCTGTAATATAAGGATTAAACAGATATTGGAGATATCATTAAAAGTCACTGTTACTCATGGGACCAAGATCATTCGTCCAGTCTGGGGCAGGCCATTTAGGGCGCCTTCTTGTACCTGCCACTTGTCATAAAGGGAACTGGTTACGAATTAAATCTATCAACAAAAAGCCATTATCATCTAAAGAAAAAAGATATCCCATATATGGAGTAATCTAAAAATTCCTTAAGAGTTTATCATTTGTGTTAGTGTAGTGTTTTGTTTTTTAGAAAGTCTTGGTGGCCTTACATCCCAGCATGTGTACATTCCTCCTCAGTCTGTATTTATCTGATTTGTCTTATAGGCCTTTCTTAAGAATTCAGAACTTAGATTCAAAGAGGCTCCAATTCTTTTGTGCCTTTCCTGGACCTTACGCTTTTTGCTTGGGGTTTTTATAGTGTACACAAGTTAATGGGCTACAAAACATTCCCTTATTTATTAGGGTTTGTTTAGCCCATCACCCTTTTAAATCTTGTGATACAGTGGCTCTCCTCTGATGCATTTAGTTACTTAAGCAGCCTTCTCAACCATGAGCTGTAATCACCAACTACCCCTATAAGAGCAACATTTGCTTTTGGGAGTGAAACGGGGATGGAGTGAATCTTAAAAGCCCTTGTGGTCCCATAAACGCCAACTGAATATTGCTTCTTTTTGGAAAAGGTTTTTGCAGAAACAGACATATACTAGAATTTCACTTTTTACTGAAAGCTGACTGCACCGAGATTGGTAGGTCAAGCGAAGGGCGGGGATGGATAATGTGGTCCTACTTGGTCAAGGACCTTAAATGGATATTCCTGATCTGTTTCTTCCCTTTCTGTGTATGACTCCTTAACCACATGTTCAGAAACACTGCTGGAAATTTTTGATCCAATAACTAGATCATCATCTGCAAAATTATACCCTCATATTTTTCTCTGACAATATGATTAAATCTTTTCCTTTTAATTTTCCTCAAAGCAAGAGGCAGGAATTCTTAAATGGGTTGACACGTAAACTTCTGGAGGGGATTCTAAAAAACAATGGGGCAAAGAGTATAATACTTATCAAAGTAATGCAGAGAAGGCAGTGGAAGAGGGTAAACGTTTTACATAAACCAAAAGCGGAAATATTTAAAAAAAAATCTACATATATGTTCTGTACCTTGACCTAATCTGTGTCCCAAGAATTTCTTTGGAGGGTAGATTTCTCACATGTTTTTAAAATGACTTCTGAAACTTTCTGCTCTGCCAGGGAACTCAGATAAGAGATCTCATGCTGCTAGTTAATTACTGCAGATGACAGAAGGAAAGGACGAGATTCAGAGACGGAACATGGCAAGGTGTTGATACTGACTTCCACATCCATTTATTTCATTGTAATTGAGTAAGTGCTTTGGGGATGAAATGTTTTGATATTCAGAATTCTGTTACTGAGGAGTAGCATCAGCAAGAAGGCAGAGTGGGAAACCATGGACCATCCCTCTTCCCAGTCATCGATTCAGAAACAATTCATGAACAAAGTCCCTCTGTGAGAAATCCAGAATTTTATTATTTAGATCCAAGTATCTAGATAAGAGCCCGATATTTTTAATGTACTTTTGAAGTGAACCTAAAACCATAATTTCATATTTACATTTTTCATTGTTTCACATATATAATCAAATTTATCATTACTTACGGTGTCTGGCCTTTGAATCCTCCTTGTTATTTTACTGCTCATAAGATGAGTCCTTAAAAGGTGTTGCTGGGAGTGTCTGGATGATGTGGGAGCAGAACGTAGGGAATACTGAGCCCGAGGTATAAGGCCTATAATGTTAAAAAATGTTAAATCATATCTCTGGTTGCAGTGTATAGGCCTAGACTTAATCCATAAAATTTTGAGCATAAAATGAACATCTAATCCGCTTCATCAGTTCTGAGTGAAGATGACAAAACCCAGATGGAATTTTTTGCCTGAGGGTCACATGACCAAGTGAAAGAAAAGGATATGATGGTTGACTTGGACTATGATGGGTAGAAGTGGACAGACTTAGGGATATTCAAATTAATCAGATTTGGTAATTCACTGGATTTGCAGGGTGACAAGGAATAGCTCCCAGATTTCTGGCTCAAGCAATTGGATAGCTATTCATTTTATTTTATGGTGGATTTTATGATTCTGGCACATATATGGTCAATAAATAATGGTCAGTAACAAAATTAGAAGGGTAGATGGGTGGGAAATATGAGTATGTAGAAAGAAAGCAGATAAAGATTAGAACAAGGCCCCTGTAGTAGTGAAAAAGTAGAACTAAATGGGATCCCATGCATTGGGATTGGCCCCCGGGAAGGGGCAGCTTTTCCGTTTTACCAGGAGGGACCGAGAAGTAGCTGAGTGCTAATGTAGGGGGGCTGGGCTCAAGTTATAGAGGGGTTTCCCCTTGGATGGCTTTTAACTGCTCTGTGAAACTGGAGGTGACGTGTTGGCTGGGGAGGAGGACAGTGTTGGAAGGTGTGAAGAAGCCAGGAAGATTTAAAATAGTTGCTGGGAAAAGGAAAGAGTGAGCTGACCCCATTCTCAGCTGCAGGGGAGGGACATGTGAGCTGGTCCTAAGACCACTGAGAACCTTAGTCTCTGGCTTTAGTGATTGGCTCAAACCCGGACACGTGACCCGAGTCAACCCAGTCTGAGGCTGATTCTTCTCAACTGTCCATTGCCAGACTGACTCCTGCCCCTCAAGCTGGAACAGAGAGGAAGCTACAGTGGTGGCTGCCATCTTGCTTCCCAAGGGGCTCCACTTCCTCTCCGCTCCCAGCATTCTCAGAGCCCAGCAACAGCGAGAGAGAAATCGGTGCTCGTGAAAAACATCAAAGCTGGATCAGGAGAACTTAAAGCAGTCTGCCTCTGAACATTTCACAGTTTTGTCAGCCAAGTGATTTCATTTTTTCCCCCTTAAGTATTTTAAGAACAGCTGCACTAGAATATATTATAGTTTCTCAGGAGTTGCAAGATCCTAAGGGGAATCCATGCTAATGCCAAGTAGAGAGAGCTGGCCCCCCAACTCTGCCTTGGCCTCCGGTGCCTCTGATGTGGGGAGCAAGGTGGCTGCTGCTACCACAGCTACGGGAAGGAGAGAACTTGGTCACCTCCGGCTTTCAACTGGACAACAGCTGGGAAGGGAGTGGGAATGGCTGACTTTTGGCACTAATGGTACAGGAGGTGCCTGACTGTCCCCTTGGAGGCTGGGTAATAAATAGGGTAATAATGGGTAATAAATAGACAGGTATGACCCAGTCCCTCCTCCCCCGATGAATCTACATGTAGGGAGCCCTCCACAAAGCCCGTCCTGTCACTAAGAGGGGACAGATGAGGGCTGAGGTTTAGGAATAACTTTTACATCTGTTTCCAGGGAAAGAGGCTTCTCTTTTACTCCTGCCACATCCCCAGTTCCGGGAATTAGGGTTCTGCCCCCCTACCCATCTTGTGCCTCACTCTGTTTCTCTTTCCTAAATGTGCAGCTGTTGGCAGACATGGATAGCAGTTTGAAAGGACACTTTAACCCAGAAAGAGATTTAAAAGATGCTTGGCTGGGGTACCTGGCTGGCTTAGCTGGTAGAGTGTATGACTCTTGATCTCAGGGTGGTGAGTTCAAGCCCCACCATGGGTGCAGAGCTTACTTATTAAAAAAAAAGAAGAAGAAGAAAGAAGAAGAAAGAAAATAAAGAAGAAGAAGAAGATGGTTGGATGGAGGCAGAGGGGCAAGGGAGAGACAGAAAAATCCTAGGGAATGTGGAGAAGGAGAGTGCAAGGTACAGAACTGCTCAGGGTCAGTGGTCAAAATAGGGCCTTGGATATGTGTATGTTCTTTCTCTTCAGACAGGCCAACTGAGGTGAGGAAAATCAGACCTGCTCTCAGGTCCCAGGCAGCAGGCATAGAGGCAGGAAGGAGGGCCCTGGGCTTTATAGCTGAGCCCAGCCTTGGTCTTTTTTTTTTTTTTTTTTAAGATTTTATTTATTTATTTGAGAGAGAGAGAGACAGAAAGAGTGTGAGTGGAAGGAGGAGCAGAGGGAGAGGGAGAGGGAGAGAGAGAGAGACTGTCAAGCAGACTCCATGCTAAGCGTGGAGCCTGACATGGGGCTTGATCCCAAGACCCTATGATCATGACCTGAACCCAGATCAGAAATGGACACTTAACTGAGTCACCCAGGTGCCCCACCAGCCCTGCTCTTAGTAAACCCAGAGTCACTCCACCTTTGTCTACTTGATCTTTGATGCCAATCTTTCTGTTTCTGAAAGGCTCTGTTTTCTTATATATTCACCTAGTAAATAGCCAAAAGCAAACATAAAGGACACACACGTATGAAAGTATAGGAACCAAGATTTGTACAGTTAGTTAGTGCTTCTGTACTACGTGGCAGATGTGCTTTATTTTATTTAATCCTCAGAATACCTTTTGAGGGGATATTCCCATTTTACAGACAGGCTAACCTGAGGTCACATAGCGAGCAGTGACTGAGCCAGGATTTGAACCAAAGCGCACACACCCAACCACCAGGCTCCACCAGAAGAGAAAAGCAGAGACTTGGCTGATCTTAACAATAAGTCAGTTGTGGTTATTGATATTTGATGACATTTTTGATAGAAGAACTTAGAATTTATTTTGTCCTCAACTTACAGGGGAGGAAGCTAGTTTAGAGACATCCCGGGTTTGGCCTCTGTTCCATGCTTCTTGCTAGCTATACTGCCCAGAGGGTGGTGTTGATTGCCACTTCCATAGGGCTCTTCAAGCCTCCAGCACCCAAGAATCATAATACACTTTCTAAATAACATCTGAGACATAAATGTGGTCATTGATGTTCCAAGGGATTAAGACAGTGAAGTACCCAGTGTTCTTTAAGTGGTATATTACAAGCCAGTTTTTATGACTAAAACATTTTAGTATAGGATGTAAATACTCTAAGGTAAACTAAAGTAGAAAGTTATGGCTGCAAATCAGAATTAAGTTTCGTTCATTCATGTATCGTTCATTCATTCAACAGCCATCACAGAGCCCCCAGTCAATAACCACCGGGTTGTTACGGCTAGTCCCTGAGATCCTCCTCAGTTCAGACCCCAGAGCCTGGGAGTTTGTGCTAGCCAGAGCAGGGGACCTGCTTACCGCCTGGTGAGCTCATCCGGACAGACGATCGCTCAGCGTCACTAAGCTGACTTTGTAGCTCTTGTACGCGCTGGAAAGCATCCAGCTTCACACTCTGCTCCTGGGCAAGCCGGCTTCTCATCTGAGGGGAAAAGTGCTTAGGAAGCAGAGATGCTTCCTGGTGCCTACTTTAGTTCCTAGGGTTCCTTGGAGAGTGAAGGTCCAGGCTGCCCCAGAAGTACAAGTCCTCATGCATTCCTGGTCAGGCTGAACTCAGCCTTCTGAGGAGAGCTCCAAGAAGGCCAGAACTCAACCAAAGAGGAGCAGAGGCAGCGCTTAGAACTTTTATTGCCTTATCATAGCCAGGAGTTCACTCACGACATTTTTATCTTTTATGTTTATTTCACCAGAGTGGAGGGGAGGATAGGAAATGGAAGGGTCCAGTTCACAGAGGACCTTGTGGGTCAAAGCCACGAAACTACCACAGGAATGGGAGGGAGCCCCTGGACAATTTCAAGCAGAGGAAAGACCCAATCTCTCTCCCAGATCTCTGTTTGGCTCAACTCATCATTGGCAGGGATGCCTTGAGCACTATCCCCCACACCTTATATGAGGCCCCTAACAAGAGATGACCTTCGTATTTACTCATGTGGCCCTCTGCTCGCACAGCTTATGCCTAGTCCCCCAGCCAGAGAGTGGCTGGGTCCAAAGTGCCTCATCTGCAGAGATCACAGGTATTTTTTTAACTTATTTTTATTTATATAAATATAATTTTATATAGGTTATAAAAAGTAATTTAATTATAAAAATTATCTAAGAGTATAAAAAGTAATATAATTATAATTATATTAAAAATTATAAAGTACAAAAAAGCAATAAACATATAATGGATTGAATAGTGTCCCCCTGGCCCCCCCAAAAATTCATGTTTGCCTAGAACCTCAAAAGGTGACCTTACTTGGAAATAGTCTTTGCAGATGTAATTAAATCATGAGGAAGCCATACTGGATTAAGAGTGGGCCTTACATACAATGACTGATGCCTTCCTAAGAAGAGGAAAGGGCTCAGACACACAGAGGGACACATATGGAGAGGGCGATTGGATGAGGAAGGCAGAGATTGGAGTGATGTAGTTACAAGCCAAAGGAATGTCAAGGACTACAGGCAGCCACCACAAGCTAGGAGAGAGGCAGAGAACAGACTCTTTCTGAGAGCCCTCAGGAGGAGCCCACATCTTGATTTCAGGCTTCTGGCATCCTGAACTCTGAGAGCATACATTTCACCTGTATTAAGCCATCTAGTTTGTGGTAATTTGTTACAACAGCCCCAGCAAACCAATCCACGTGCTACTCTCAAAACTTCAGCCGCACATGTTTTAAATCCTACTCTCGTCTGCATGGACCCAATGAGAAGACCTGTGAACTCTTAAAGCTGTGACCACAGGCTCATCTTACAAATGTTAAGGAGCAGTTTCTTGTGTGTGTGCAGATACTCTCAAGTGTAATGTAACTTTCAGTTAAAGATCAGATCCCCAGAGTTAGGAACACTTCCTAATACGAATTAGCCCCAAGGTCCCTGTAGGTACTATAAGGATTGGTGTAAGCTCCTTAGCCCTCATGGGTAGGAACCAAGAAAAACATATCAAGACTCCCCAGGCCAGGCTGGGGCTAAGTCAACTTGAAAAATACTAGCAAAGGGAAGAAACATGCTTAGGAAGGACCTTGTGTTGTGTTAGGATCTTAAAGAAACCCCACCCCACTTCACAGAGATAGGTACAGTGATTTGCCCAAAATCCACAAGCTGTTAGAGGCAGAGGCAGGATGTGAATCCAGGTCAATCTGTTTCCAAAATTGTTCACCTTCATTCAGATTCCCAGTAAAAAGACATACAGCCAATATTAATCAAGAGCTGTGTGTCAGTTTCAATTCTAAGTGCTTCATTGGAACTATCTGGTTCAATCCTCCTAAAAATCCCATGAATTGAGTATATTGTTCTCTACTGTACTGATGAGAAGACTGAAACACAGAGAGACCACAACCTAGCCCAAGGTCATGCAGTGGAGATCTAGCCCAAGGTCATGCAGTGGAGATCTGGCCCAAGGTCATGCAGTAGAGGCCCCAGGGCGTGAATCAGGAAATCTGACTCTAGGGCCTCCACTCTAAATGGTCTCCACAGGAGCAGGAGGTAGGCAAGGACAATCATGCTCTCCAAGGCCAGATGATCAAAATCTGCCCTTGGAATTGGAGGTTGGAGAAGGATTAATGAAGTCACTGTGGGTCATAGGGGCTCTTGCTGGCTGAGGATGGATTGCTAGTTGGTGGTGAGCGGGACAGTAAGCCTGGGGCACAAGAGCTGTGCCCCAGGCTTACTGGGGTAGGGGAGTAATTTAGATTTTTACATGCATATACTAAAAAGATGTATTTGTTGAGAGAAGCCTCAAAATATTTGTCTTGACTATTTTTAGAATCTAGACAAAAATTAGTTGTTAACTAGAGAAGACTTTGAGAAACTAACACCTTATCTATTTTTAACTAGGTACAGGGCTCAAACTCATGACCCTGAGATAAAAACCAGGACTGAGATCCAGTAGGACATATAACTGATTGAGTCACCCAAAGGCCCCTAATGCCTTATTATTGGGTGGTTTTTAGAAAGGCATGATTTGAAGGATGAATATGTGACACCAAATTTTTCTTAAGGATTCAAATCACAGTTTAGTTTTCACAAAATAAATGTGAAATTCTAATTTTCTTTTATTCTAAAGCTACCCATTTTTCTCTCCATTCCTCCACAAATATTTTCCCTAGCATTGCCTCAATTTAATTTTGGTCCTTTTTTTTTTTATTCTTGTCATTTATTTTTGTAGACTTCTCATTGATCTCCTCCTTAAGCACTTGAAACACTTGGCCAATAATCTAATTTAACTTTCCAACTTCGGTTTCCTAATATCTCTGGTGAATTAAGTGATTTATTCCTTCAGTGAATGTATAAGACATGCCTGTTCTGGAAGGTGCTACTTCTTTTGCATTTTGTATTGGATTACATTCTGTGGTCTCCTTTGTTAGAATTTGCATTAATCCATGTCTACGTCTGCTGTTTCTTCCTTTTTTTTTTTTTTTTTAAAGATTTTATTTATTTATTTGTCAGAGAGAGAGAGAGAGGGAAAGAGAGCAAGCACAGGCAGACAGAATGGCAGGCAGAGGCAGAGGGAGAAGCAGGCTCCCTGCTGAGCAAGGAGCCCGATGTGGGACTCGATCCCAGGACACTAGGATCATGACCTGAGCCGAAGGCAGCTGCTTAACCAACTGAGCTACCCAGGCGTCCCTCTTCCTCTTTTTTTACTGTAGGGCTCTATTTAACAAAAATAGATTGTGTCTGGAAATCACATTTGCCTTTCCTTTTTGTCTCTGAGATTCCAGAAACACCTTGAATAAAATCCTCTTCTAATAGCTTTCATAATATTTGTTGCTTTTCCAGATTACCATTGGAATTTTCTAAAGGATCCCTAGTTCAAAAATTATAGTCCAGTGGAAACATGTTTGTCACGTGGGTTATAAAGGCACCAAGATTCTGGGCCTCGGGGCAGTGGAGCCATCATCCTCTCACCATTAGCAGTCTGAGCATCACCTCAGCGTGGGCAGAAGTATTCCCATTATCCTGGTGGGCCTAGAAATGACAAAGGTGGGGGACACCAGAGGCATGGAAAATTCCAGAAGAAGGCCCCAGCTCTGGCTGGTGCATCCCGCTTGGCTTCTGAGGGGCTGCTCCCTCTCTCTGGAGTTACCTGTTGGAGTTCTCTCTGACTTCTCTTCTGCTGAAGCTGGCCCAGCCTGGAAGCCCTCTCAGCCGCTTCTGTCAGGAGCTGCAGGTGCTGTTCCTTTTTCTCCACGTCTTCCAGGAGCTTCTCCATGCTGGAGGTTTTCATCAGATCCATCTGTTGCCGGTGGCGAGCCTCCTGGGTCAACTTGTGTTGCAGTTCTCTCAGCAGTTGAGCCTGTGGCAGGAAAAGGGCAAAGAAATTGAAGAAGACGCAGTCTTTCCTTTCAGCAAAAGGCCCGGAAGGAGAAGTTGCCCAACGGGATAACCATCCCCTCCCAAGGGGTATCCCCCAAGGGCAAGACCCTGTGGTGAGCTCCTGGGCTCAGGGTCACAGAGCCCGGCCTTTTGGTTCTGGGTTACTAGCTGACAACAAGACTACCAGCATCTAGGCCACCTTGGCATTTACTGTAAGCCCTGAGGCAATAGTCAGGGAGACAACAAAAGGAACAAACCAGAAAAGCCAGCCAAGTGGTAATGCCACTGTACAGCAATACCCGTCAAACAGTTCCAACTTTCAGTGCCCAAATGCGACGATGATATGTACGTTACTTAGCCTATTAATCATATAGTTGTATCTACCACAAGCTACACGTGCAGGGTCACTGAGCACTCATCACGAAATAGCAGGGAAGGGTTAGCCCCAGGAGAGGGTGTGACCTAACGCTGCAATGAGTGGACGAGGGAGGTTGTAATTTTGCCTCTGGTTTGACTTCCAAAATAGCTCTGGGGAAGCCAGGTTCCAGATGGTTAAGAGGGAAAAGAGGAGTAATAATTTGGTCCTGTTCTGAAATTTTTTTATCAGTAGCACCATAGGCACCAGAAGGTCAAACTCAGTTATAATACTAATACTAATATTATTTGTACGGCGATGCTACAGTTTACATAATTATACACCATCATTCACCTGGTGCATGATAATGGAGGATATAGGGTCCGGAAGGAACAAATTATATGCTATGTTTTAAACATGCCCATTTTTCCCAGGCTCTTCTTTAAACTGAGCTCCTCTCTCTCTAAACTTTTCTGCTTCCTTCATGCTTGGAGAGTTGGTACAGCTATCAAGAGCTTAAACTTGGAAACACATTTCTTTTGGGGCCAGCCCCTACTGAGCAGCAACTTCTGGAATGGGTCATCCGGAAAAGTCCCAAGACTCTTAGTTTGGGGAATAGTGCTGACGGGTGGGCCACACTCCGCGTGCACAAGGCTGCTGTCGATGGAAAGTGTGCTTGGAGATGGAAGGTCTGTGTCAAGGGCAGAGACCTACACCCCAAGATGCCCTCTGGGTAATAAGATCCTCAGAGAAACAGACATGTACACACTACACACGGACGAATGATCTTTTGTGTGGGTAGTACTTGCCTGCCTTAGCCAAATGTGAACGAAAACAAAAGCCTTTTGGCCACTCTCCTTGGTTGCTGGGCTAGAGAGGAGGGAGAAGGGAAGCTGAGGTCTGGGTGGTGGTTCTCTGGCCCTGCCCTGTGCTTGAACCAGGCTCACAGTTCCAGGCAGCTACAGTGCTGTTTCCACTCCACGTGAGGCTTTGCAGAGCGAGCTGAGAGAGAGGGAGGGACAGGGCTCCTGGGGCTCGGATACCTGGTTATGGTGCTGACGGAGCATCCTGGCGTTGTCGGCCTGAGCCCTGGCCAGGGCCTGCCTTAGAGCCCGTAACTGTTGACGAAGTAAAACCACTTCTTGGTCTGCCATTAGCTGGACGCTCAAGCACTCTTTTTTACTTTGCAGAGCTTCCTGTGAACATCCCAAACCGAGTGAGATAGGAAATAAGTTTCCTTTCCATAATTTTAGTTTCATAAGCATCTCTAGAACACTTCGGTTATCCATGGTTTTTAAAGCTTCCGGTAGCAAGGAGCTCCCACCAGTCACTTCCTGTGTGTCTTCACTTAAGGACAGTGTGCCAGATCACAGTAAATTAAGACTTGCTGAAACACTAAGTGAACATGTCCAAACTACTAGTATTCTGTGCTTTGGTTTCAATTTGTCTTGAGGTTGGTTTTCTATCTATTTTGTTTACTTCATTTTCCTCAGATAATCATATTCGAGACTCAAAGATCTGCAGTGGATTTTGTCGAGGCTGCCTCAAGCCCTCGGTAAAGCCGCCCCCTCCATCCTTGCCCTTCCCTCCTGCTAAATTCTCTCTCATCTCTTCTCCCGTTTGCTTCTTTGCCATTCGCTTCGGGCTCTTTCCTGTTTCTCTGAAGTTCTGACATGCTGCCACTTCCCAAGAAAACTCCCCAACCCCCAGATCCTTTAAGAGGGTTGGACTTGTCAACCAACACCTGTAGCCCCAGCAGCTCCTACCTCCAAGGAAGTCGGGCGCCACCCACCTGGCCACGCCCTGCTGGGCGGGGCCTCCCTCCCCTCGCTCTCACCTTCTCCGCCCTGTTCACCAGGCGCTGGAAGCGAGCCTGCTGCACCGCCAGCCTCCAGTGGCCCAGGCTCCTCAATTTGCACACCAGCGCAGCCAGGCTGCTGCTGTCCTGCTCCAGAGCCTGCAGCTGCTCCTGCCGAGAGAAGCTCACTTTCAGAGAAGGCTGCCTTCAACACTCTTCCCCGGAGGGAAGGGCACAAATCCTAACATCAGCGCCCTGCCTTCCAGAGAATGACACAATGGTTCAGGGAGCCCCCAGCGACCCCTTTTAAATGCCTGATGCAATGCTTTCTCGCGGAACCAGACTGGAATGCATACAGAGTGAGCCCCGGGTCAGATGCTGGGATGAAATGCCGGGATCCCGTTGCTAAATGAAATCACGTACTTTGGCTGGGTTTTCGTTCATTCCTTTATCAGGTCTGGCAGAGCCCCATTTCTTCTTTAGGCCCTTCAAATTGTCAATCCCTTCTGTTCTTACTTCGCCGATGAGCTCACACACTTTCTGGATCAAATTAATCTGGTTCTCATCCAGCTTTTCCTGCAAATTGCAGACTCAAATTCAGGAAGAGCAGGGGAGGAAGAGTCATCTTGCCTTCTAAAACCCGACTTTCAGAAATGATTCTACATGGAAAAACCATCCACTCAGTTATTCCATCAGGAATTATCTGGAAGTCTCACGAGCAGCCCCGTTAGCATTGTCTACAATCCACAGGGATTGTGGACCCTACACACGTTAGAGTCCAAGTTGTCAGTGCTGAGGTAAGTTGAGTGGATAGAAAAGTGGAAGGTCACAGGTAGAAAACTGAATCACCCCTCCTCTCCCAAAAGGTTGCTTGAGAATTTGAACCTAGGGATTTTTGCTATCAGGTTGACTCAGCAGAATCTGACCAGATAAAACACTATAGATGAGCCACCAATGAGGAACTACATTAAAAATAGATAAAGTAGAGGAAGGAATCAGGCTGGCCACCTTCCCATTTGGTTCCAGAGGAAATCTCATGACACAGCCTGTTCTGAATGGCTTATGGATAATGACTTGTGGTGGGATGGCTTGATCATCACTAAGTACAACTACAAACCCTGCATCCTTGGGTGAGGGGAGAAAGTTGGGTGTCCTCTCATCTCTGAACCACTTCCCTGGAAAGGAAAGCAGGAGGATACTGTCCAGCTGGGCAGTCATGGCAGGACGTCTGGCTGCTGGCCACACAGCCAAAGCTTCACCACCCACTTGGGACCCTGGGGTAGAACAGGGACTCTCTGATTTGGCAGGGGGTAGGGGGCATGTGGAACTAGTTTAGTTCCACATGAGAGAATCCACTAGTAGAGAATCCACTTTCCATCTAGGAATCTGGCATAAGTTAAAAAAAAAACTTAAGAATATTTTCAATAATTTCATACCTGAGAGATGACTTAGCAAATTCCAGACTTCACTGTCTGTTCATCCCTCTCCTGTAGTACCAGGCCCAGTGCATTTTGGTTTTGACCCTATAATATTTGTAAGCACTGGTATTTTATGGATCCTTCATAAGTAGGAAGGAATCTCCGATCCTCTCTGATACCCACTAACGCAGAGCACTGGTGGAAGCTCCTCTCAATGGAACAACTTCAGGCACCAGCTGGAATATTCCAGGAGAGACAATGAAGTAAGGGCACATTGGGGGCTGGCTCTGGAAAACATCCAATAGCAGGAGAGGAGGCAAGTTTGTACTGAAATTCGCATTTGTGGGGCAGTTGGACTAGGCCCTGTGATGGCCCATTTTAGGCATGGGGCCTCCGTCTTATGATGCTCTGGCATCATAAGAAAGTGACAGGCTTCCCCCTCCCCCATCCCATGCTGTGGGCACAGGGGCACCCCATCACTCCTCTTCTGGATGGACGACCTTCTTTGACAGTCCATCAGCTCCCAGACACTGGATGTGAGAGACACTGGATGTGGATGGTCAGCAATTTTATACGTTGAAAACCCCTCTGAAAGTGAATTCAAATTCTGAATCTGCGCAGTGAGCCTTCAGGAGGTTCATGTTGCTACTGACACTGGGGTCTGGCCTGGCTCAGGGCATTGAACTTTCCTGTTTGGAGGGTTGCACTCAATAGACTAAACAGTGATATCAACTGTTGGGGTTTTGGAGAAGATGCCCCCCGCCCTCCCTTAACAGCAATCAGCTATATACAGAATAATGAAACCTGACCATTCTCTTACACCATACACAAATAAAACTCTATTTGGGTAAAAGACCTCAATGTGAGACAGGAATCTGTCAAAATCCTAGAGGAGAGCATAGGCAGTAACCTCTTCGACATTGGCCACAGCAACTTCTTTCAAGACACATGTCCAAAGGCAAGGGAAATGACAGCAAAAATGAACTTCATCAAGATCAAAAGCTTCTATACAGCAAAGGAAACAGTCAGTGAAACAAACAGGCAACCCACGGAATGGGAGAAGACATTTGCAAATGACACTACAGACAAAGGGCTGGTATTCAAGATCTATAAAGAACTCCTCAAACTCAACTCCCAAAGAACAAATACTCAAGTGACAAAAGGGGCAGAAGACATGAACAGACACTTCTTCAAAGAAGACATACAAATGGCTAACAGAAAAATGAAAAAATGTTCATCATCATTAGCCATCAGGGAAATTCAAATCAAAACCACATTGAGATACCACCTTACACCAGTTAGAATGGGCAAAATCAACAAGACAGTAAACAACAAGTGTTGGAGAGGATGTGGAGAAAGGGGAACCCTCTTACACTATTGGTGGGAATGCAAGTTGGTGCAGCCACTTTGGAAAACAGTGTGGAGGTTCCTCAAAAAATTAAAAGTAGAGCTACCCTATGACCCCACAATTGCACTACTGGGTATTTACCCCAAAGATACAGATGTAGTGAAAAGAAGGGCCATATGTCCCCCAGTGTTCATAGCAGCAGTGTCCACAGTAGCCAAAGTGTGGAAAGAGCCCTTCAATAGATGAATGGATAATGAAGATGTTGTCCATATATATAAATGGACTATTACTCAGCCATCAGAAAGGAATGCCCACCATTTGCATTGACATGGATGGAACTGGAAGAGATTATGCTGAGTGAAATAAGTCAAGCAGAGAAAGACAATTATTATATGGTTTCACTTATTTGTGGAACAAAAGGAATAGCATGGAGGACATTGGGAGAAAAAAGGGTAAAATGAAAAGGGGGGGGGAATCAGAGGGGGAGATGAACCATGAGAGACTATGGATTCTGGGAATCAAACTGAGGGTTTTAGAGGAGAGGGGGGTGGGAGGATAGGTGAGCCTGGTGATGGGTATTAAGGAGGGCACGGATTGCATGGAGCACTGGGTGTCATACATAAGCAATGAATCATGGAGCACTACACCAAAAACTGATGATACACTGTATGGTCACTAACATAATAATTCAAAAAAAGCAATCAGATGGCACCAATGGCAGCCGGCCGCAGAGTGAGGAAAACAGCAACTATCTAAATTGTCTAAAATTCAGTGCCTGTCGTAGCAAAACAATGACAACCCATGCTGACCCCTCCCTGCCGCAAACACTGAGCGCTGGAGAATTCTTGGGCCCCGGAGGCTCTTGTTACCACACAGCCCACTCTGTCATCCATTGCTGTATGCGTGGCGCCTGTGGAGGTCACTTACCCTTAGCTCCCACAGGGCCGCCCAGATGTCCGACACATGTCACTTACTTTTATGTGCAAGCACGTTGCAAACAGAGCTCGGACTAATGCTTCATATTCTTCCTGGACTTCTTTTCTGATCTGCTTGTTGAGATTCAGATTCTCCTCTTCCAAATCTGTGAGTCGAGCTCTCAGAGCAGTGATTTCCATGATCATAGCATGACTGAGCTCTGCAACCTAACGGCAGAAATACTGTTTGAATGCAAGAGAACTCAAGCAATCCAAACGGCTACTACTACGGAATAGTTCTTCATATATCGGGGTCAGATTTGTTCTTCTACTTTGAATCTAATCAAAGAAGCAAACATCCTATTGTACAAATACGGGTGGAAGGATCCAAGGTTGGTTTAGGGGTCTCGGAACAGTGCCAGACACATAGTAGGTATCCAATGAATGGTTGTTGAATGAATGACCCCAGAAGAGACACACTTAACACTTCTTAATTGGATATAATACTTCAGCTGTCTTCATCTCCATTTCCAAATGGGCCTTCTTTGACACCTCAACCTAAATACCTTTTCTGTGGAATTCATTTAACCTGGCCTCAAAAGAAAACAAACGAACCCCCAACCCCAACCCAAAAATAACAACAAAAAAGAAAAATCAAAGCAGTAAAAAATAACAAAAACCACCCCAAAACTAAGAATAATGCCCTTATTGCTTTAAAAAGTGAAACACCCTCCTCAGGTGTTTCCGCAGAGTATCTTCATCAATGAGACTTCTCTGGGCCACTGTTGATACGGGCACAAGAAAATGACACTAGGAAGTCCTCTGTCTGGTTACTGCTGAGAATGTGGATTGCGAGCTGGGAAAGAGAAGCTTTTTGGGAAGAATGGACCTACCTGACCAGCGTTGTCTTCAGGTGGATCTGAATCTCTTCGGATAATATCTAATTCCTGAAGAGGAGAAAACAGTGCAAAACCAAACTCAAACATTTATTCTTCCAGCCATGCCTCAGTTTACCTCAACATGCTCCACACACCCCCTGTTTGTGTGGATGGAGCTTCATTTTCAGATCCCTGGGCTCCCTCTGGAGCCCTACTGCCCCTGTTGCCCCATTGGACTTCAGGGTGCCTAACATGAGATCTGGAGATAGCGTTCACTTCCAGATATCCACACTGATGCCGAAGACTTGGCTATAGGGATAAGCCAAACTGGGGGTGAAGTCCAGACCCTTTGGGTATTTGAATGCTTCATTTGATTTTTTTTTCAGGCTTTAGCACTTTTCTTAGGTAAAAAGTAATATTACATTGAACCTTTAATGCAATCCGTTTCAGACTTTAGCACTTTTCTTAGGTAAAAAGTAATATTACATTGAATCTCTGATACAATCCGTTTTAAAACAGTGTGCAGTCTAGGACAGGATCCCACTAATCCCACTGGTGGGACCTGATTTTAAGGAAGTCTCATCAGTGAGACCCATGACGTGCATCCTGAGGACAGAGTTTACTCAAGGATAGTGGCTTCTCTGTTAGACCAGGGACAGCACAAGGTACTTTGTGTTTGCTCAGGTCAGCTATGCATTTTCCCAGGGGTAGGGAGGCAACTCCTTTGTCACCAATGTTTTATATTCCCCACTAGACACCTCCAAAGCACACAGCCTGGTGTTCCTGGGCCATCACCCTTGCAGCTGAGAATACCAGAGCCCAGGAAAACGAACCAGTGAGAGGAGACTTTGCGGGGTACTGTTCACCCGCCCTTCTTGTGTGAGAACACTCCCCTCTTCCCATTCTAGTCTCCTCTTCAGAGTGAGTCCTGGGCCTCCCTCCCTACACCTACCCCATCACACGTCCTCTCTCCCTGGGAACATACCTGCTCTTTCTGGAAGAGCTTCTGCCGAGCATGCTCCAACACATGCTCGTAACACATGGAGTAGCTCTCAAAGTTGCTGCGTTCTCTTGCCATCACATCGCAACCCAAGGAAAGGAGGCAGCCCTCAAAGTGGTCTTTCCTGAACGTGACCTGAAAAGGAAGGGGCATTATTCACAGCAACTCCAGCAGGAAGGCCTCACATGCCAGGGCCCACATTGCCTTGCCTCCCAGACCCAGGTCTATATCTCAGCCACGGAAAAACATGGGTTCTGGCCTTGCGAGTCTCTTTCGGGTCCACTCTCTCAGTATTTGCAGGGCAGGAACAAGAGCACAAATGGACACCTGCATGCCACGTACCAAAGTACCCTAGATATTTAAGGGTCATAAATCAAACTAATAAACTATTAATTCTCCTACTTTGAAAAATAGATCTTCGAAGTAACTTGGAAGGCCAGGTCTGACTTGATCATTCTTGGACTACTCTGGGTTCTGTGCTGAAATGTGGTGACTTGGAGAGAGCTGGTCACCAACCTGTAGTTTACAGCACAACCCCTTGTCCTCCCACGTCTGGCCCCACATCACACTGTGGAGGGTGCTCACATGCCCGTGAACAGACAGTCCGGCTAGCTACACCCCCACACAGCTGCCCTGGACCGCCCCTCAGGCCACCGTGTGCACACTGGCGGTAAGGTCCACTCTCCTTCTGGGGAGCAGGATCTGGAGACTCTGCAGGGAGAATTCCAGGGCGCCAGGTTCCTAAAGTGTGGTCTAGAGTGAATATCAGAGATCTGAGGGGGCATGTCCCTTTGGCTGTGAGGAAGAGCAGGCTTGAAGAAGAGCCAGAGGAGCCGTCTGGAGAATGAGCCTCTGTCGGGCCCCCTCTCTTGCTCTGGTGGAAGAGACATACTGCTACTCTCTCAACCGTCCCATTCCTTCCCTTTCTCGGAGAGATCCGGCACCCTTCCGAGGAGGTAGCCATTAAGGAACAGAGAAAAGTCCGCCCCTCCCAGGCAAGCTTAGATTTTGGCTCTGGAGAGAAATGGGAGCCAACATGTAGAAGAGAGGGCAGATCGACCTGTGTAGCACCTGCATGTCCAGGCGAGGGCTCGTGTGTGTCTCGTTGTCTCTATCACGAGTGCATCTCTGTGCCTTTGTGGATATGTTTGTATGTCTGGATCTATCAGAATACATGTATATGTGTGCCTGTGTCTCTCTGTGGATGTCTCTGTGACAGTCTATATATGTCTCTGTGTCTATGTGTGTCCCTGTGTGTATCAGTGAGTGTGTCTATGTGTGTATCTGGGTGTCTTAGGGGGCCTGCTCCACGACCCAGCCCGCATGCGTACATGAGCTTTATCTGTAACACTTGTGGGGTCAGGAGGGCTTCAGGCTCACTGGCAGGGTGCTACAGAAGTTTCTGGCTTGGGGCGGGTCCTGTGTCCCCATGAGGTCCAGTACGCTGTCCTATCAGTGAACCTCAGTGCCCCTACCAACCTCCAGAGAAAGCCCAGCCAGGCTTTGCCAAGGCGAGTTACTGACACAAGCTAGCAGAGATGGCAAACAGTGATAGAACCCAGGACGGATGGAGTGAGGAGAGTGGCTCGCACCCACTGTTGATGGCAGGGGAAATCAGGGTGGCATTTTGGAGGCCAGACTAGCTGTATCTGTGAAAAGATTTTAAAATGTTCATGCCCTTTGGCCCAGGAATTCCTCTTCCAGAACGTCATCTTTAGGGGTTAATAGAAGTGACACACAAAAATATATGTAAGCCTTTCCGACAAAACAAGAAATAGAAAGGACCAAGAGTGCCCAATATAGGGAAATAGTTTGAATCTTTCTCACCTGTCTGTACAACGAAATACTAGACAGCCACCAAAAGTCTTGTGGACAGATACATTCATTGACAAGGAAACATGTTGATAACATGTACTCAAGTGAAAACAAGGACTCTATAATAAAAGGGCATATAGAATGATTTAATTTGATTTTAAAAAGTTAATGAATTAAAAAAATGATAAAGTTTGGAAGGAAATGGGCCAACATAATAATAGTAGTTATCAGTGAGGGTAAGCTAATGAGTGTATTTTCTAATACATCATATTCCTATTTTCTAATATAATCATAACATGTGTACACAATTAAGATAATTATATATGAACATATACACCCTAATGAAAAGATAGTAAAGCTTTTGTAAAGATCAACAGCCACAGCAGCTTGGGTGCATTGAAGAGAGGCAGAATGGAAACCATAGGTGACGTCCTCTGTTCATGCGGGATTTAATGAAGAGGAGCCAGGCAGTCAGGGCAAGGCACTCAGCCTCCCTCCTTCATCCCCTGGGGGTTCCTCACAGGGACCGGGCGTGAGGGCAATCTACGCCACTCTGGAAAATGAGCAGTAGGACAGGTGGATTTATCTTCTGACATCAAGGCAAGGGGAACCAAGGCCCTTGAGTTCTTAAGAGTGACAGGGTCAAGGCTATGTGATTTAGTAATGACAAAGGAAATACTTCCCAGACTGAATATGATGAAAGCCTGAAACATTGAAAAGCCTGAATGTGAGATCACATTCAAGGCCATCATGATGTGGCTGGTGACCCCATCCGGTGGGCTGGGGCCAGGGCTTGGAATCAGCCACAGTGACTCACCTCTCACTGTCCTGGACAGCAGTGTCTGGACCTGAGCATGCCAGTAAGGCCTCCAACAGCTTTTTAGCAGGGCAAACACTTCTCAAACCAGTATCACCATAGCTGCCATAGTAGATATAGAATCCCAAACAAGCAGCAAGGTAGACTTGAACCTCAATGGCCTTCTACCATCCCCTCTTAGCCAGTGTGACACTTTACCCAGTAAGGGGAGTCACCTCTGGTTCACCAGAGGTGAAGGAATGGCCAGGACCCCCTTGAGTATCTCCAGAATCCAGAGAAATTGTATTTTGTTATTGTGTTTCTTAAAAGCTCTTCTGCAACCTACCCTTGCCTTCCTGGGTCACTAAATGTCAGCTCTGTGTCAAAATGCGGCAGGAAGTAGGTTCATCTTCCAACTTCAGGGCAGGTCCTTGGGTTCCATACACAGAGTGAAGACCATGTCCTCCAGTGGGCTGATTCCTTCACCAACAGTTAAACCTGAACTGTCATGAATGGCCCTGGCTGGAAAATCCACCAGATTCTTCCAGAGAGCCAGCCTGGGGTGAAGCATGGTAGGTGCTAGGCCTTGTTATGGCAAAAGTCTGGCTTTGCTGGGAGCAAAATGCACTTCTGTGGTTTGTTCTATCGTGGAACCCCTCATAATTGATCTAATATCAGGCACACACAAGGTGTTTTGATGATATTTCTAAAACCCACCTCTGGTGACAAAATGCTTCAGTGACTTTCCACTGACTCTGGGATGAAATCCAGACTCCTAAGGATTGCCTACAAGGCCATTCAGCAGCTGACCCTGTCTTCCTTTTCAATGTCCTCCTCTGAACTCTGCTATACTCCCTTCTTAGATTTCTCTGCCTTCCTTCCCCAGCCCCTCTTCATCTGGTTAATTCCTATTTGTACTTTAAGACTTGGCCCAGACAACCCCTCCTCCAGGAAGTCTTCCCTGACCATTTCTTCCCTACCCTCTAGATGGGTTGTATCTCCTGTGTATGCCTCCCTCAAATCATTTAATGTAAAGTGCCTTTTTTGACACTTATGGGTCACCTGATTCCATAAGTTCTTTGAGGGCTAGAACTGTACCTTTTGCCTTTAATCTAATAAAGTGTCTAGGGGGGAAGGCAAAGGAAATCTATAAACACTTGCTAAATGAATGAATGACTTTTGGCATGTGAATGGAAATGGTTCTGGAATCCACACAATAGACTATTATAGTTCTGGTTTGCAGTGAAGGTCAGTCTCTAACTTTCGGTCAGCATATTTGATATAAAATTTGGGCAGGATGTTAGAACAGATCGTGAAAGACTGGTTTCCTAGAATTTGGAGAAGGAGACAAAGATCACTAGAGGCCAGTATGGATTCGAGAAAAATCAAGTCAGATGAACCTTTTCCTCCAGTAATATAATGTATGCGGTGTACCTGAATTTCAGCAGGAGATCTGGAAAAGTTCCTCATGATGTCCTTGTGGACCAATGGAGAACATAGGCTAGGTGACAGTACAACAGATGGGCTGCTGGCCATGGAATGACTATGCCCAAAGAGTGTGGTCAGCCTGAAGGGAACCCCCAGGGAGGTAGTACAGGGCTTGGGGACCTGTCCTGACATACACTCTTAGTAATGACTTGAATGAGGAGACTGTGGGCAGGCTGACATGAGCCTAGGAGGGAGAGAGAGTACGCTGGATGATAAAAATCCAGATTTTGAAGGATTTCAAGTTCAGACTGGACGAAACTGAGTAAGAACAAGGCTAATAATAAGGCAGCAGCAGGATGTCTGAAGGCAACGTGGCTTCAGGAGACTGTCAGCCTAATGAGTCATCCATGACGTGGCTGCCAATACCCAGGACTCTCACGGCATTAATCAAAGCAGAACATGCATTAACAAGTACGCTTTCCACCTGGTCAGATGATCTTGAACTTAGAGGGGACCGACCAGGATGGGAGGGCTGCTCATATAAAGTGAGTGAAGGACATGAAGGCGGTTTAGTCTGAAGAAGAGACGTCAGGGCTCATGTCCTCTGCCCAGAAGCACCCAGGTGAGTGGGGGGAGCACGGTGCCTTCTCCCTTTTCCAGTTCATGTGCCCTGGCTTGGGCTGCACCCATCTGGAGGAAGGGGTAACCCACGGTTTGTAACCCACCACCCAGAGGGACACCCCTTCGGATTTGTGCTACTAGAGCAGGTCCTTCGTTGTAATTTTACTGAGGCTTCACACACGCCAGCAATGGTGCTCATTGAGTTTCTCTGACAGACCTGCCTTTAGATACCTAACGGCTTGTTGTGAGGGATCAGAACTATGATCAGTGGTGTCCCGGGGACAGAACTAGGATCTATGATGGAGGTGGTGGGGAGGCCAAGCCAATCCAGGGAGAGCTGCTTGAAACACGAGCTGCCAGGAGAGGTGGGGAGGGCGGGTGGGCTTGGAAGAGAGAGAGTTCCTTGTCACTGCATATGATCCAGAAGAGGCTTAGAGGTCCACCAGGCATAGAGTTTGGAGGGATCTAACGTCCTGGTGTCCTCTTTTTCCAAGACACTGGCAGGCAGACACCAACCCCTTCAGTGTGCTTTGGGTGTCAGTTAGACCTGACATGGGTTTGCCCTAATTCCCACATTTCTCTCCTAGACAATCCCATCTTCAATGTTGGAGTAAAGGATATACATAGGGGTTGAGCAGATCTTGAGCCACAAACTTTTTGTTTTTATTGTGGTAAAATATACCTCTTGTAACATTTGCCATTGAAACCATTTTTTTTTTAAGATTTTATTTGTTTATTTGACAGAGAGAGATCACAAGTAGACAGAGAGGCAGGCAGAGAGAGAGAGAGAGGGAAGCAGGCTCCCTGCTGAGCAGAGAGCCCGATGCGGGACTCGATCCCAGGACCCTGAGATCATGACCTGAGCCGAAGGCAGCGGCTTAACCCACTGAGCCACCCAGGCGCCCACCATTTTTTTTTTTTAAGTTATCTCCACACTCAAGGTGGGGCTCGAACTCTTGACTCTTAAGATTAAGAGTCACATGCTTTACCGACTGAGTCAGCCAGGCGCCACCATTTAGACAATTTTTTTTTTCATTTAGACAATTCTTAAGTGTAAAGTTCAGTGGCATTAAGTTCATTCACACTGTTGTACAATCAATTGCTAGAACTCTTTTCATCTTGCACAACTGAAACACCTGTTCCCGCTAAACACCAACTCCCCATCCCCACCCCCCCTCAGCTCCTAACAAACCACCATTTATTCTACTTTCTGTCTCTATGAATTCGACTACTGTGGGTATTTCACAGCAGTGGAATCACGTAGCATTTATTCTTTTGTGACCGGCTTTTTTCCCTGAGCATAAGGTCTTTAAGCTTCATCTATGATGAAGCACATGTCAGAATTTCCTTCCTTTTTTAAGGAGAACCATAAAATTTTTTGCCCCACCCCAATCACCTCTGTACCTCTGGTTGAAAACCTCTGAGCTGCAGGGACCAAAAGGAACCACTTCGCCCCCCTCATCAGAATACACAGGACCACATTTGAGTATAAGTGAGAGCTTATATGAAATACATGTCAATCATCAGGCTCTAAGGAAAAACGTGTCCCTCATAACTAAAGACTCAAGTGTTTATTATAAAATTATGGGGATGGGGCGCCTGGGTGGCTCAGTAGGTTAAGCCTCTGCCTTCGGGCTCAGGTCATGATCTCAGGGTCCTGGGATCAAGCCCTACATCAGGCTCTCTGCTCAGCAGGGAGCCTGCTTCCCCTTCTCTCTCTGCCTGCTGCTCTGCCTACTTGTGATCTCTCTCTCTGTCAAATAAATAAATAAAGTCTTTTAAAAAATTGTGGGGAATATTTTAAGAGCTTAGAAAAATGTAACTTGGAGGGAAATGTTGTTTTAAAAAATGAAGCATGTTTTGCTAAATCAGGTTTTTAAAAAATGGTTGAATTTCAAAGGCAACTGGAGTCATAGCTACCTAATGAACTTACACTTCATTTAATGATCCTGAAAGTTCTGCTATGGTCATATATCCACATAGGCTCTCTTATTCTTTTCAACACTGTTTAGAGTTAGTTAGGTCAACAGTTGACAACTCCAAGGACTTGTGTGTATATATTGTATGTAATAAATGCATATGATTGTTAAATATATATTATATACAGTTATTATGGATTCAAATATATATACAAACACAAAAAAATTGTTGATACTGGTTTCCTTTGTGGAGATGTGGGGATGCTATAGCAAGGGAGGGGTGGGAATGTTACCGTTTCTGATCATTTGTTTGTTTGTTTGTTTGTTTTTTGTATTGTACATTTCAAAAATGTTTTCTAGGTAGTGGAATCATAGGCTGTTTTAGTTTCTCTCGTCTGAATCTTCTATATTAAAAAACCAACCCAGAGTGTACCTGGGAGGCATAGTCCGTTAGCTTCCAACATTTGATTTCTGTTCAGGTCAAGATAATGATCTCGGGTCATGAGATAGACTCCTCACTGGGCATGGAGTCTGCTTGGGATTCTCTCTCTTCCTCTCCATCTACTTCTCCACCCTCACTTGCGTATGCACGCACACTCGTGTGCTTTTGCTCTCAAAAAAATTTTAAAAATAAAATAAAATAATAAAATTGAAAATAATAAACACAGGAAATGTTGCTAATACAACTTATTCATCAATAAACTCCAAGGTTACTTTTAAAAAACTGGCCAAATCTGAAATTAGCCAACATGCATATTCTAATTTTTCTCCCATAATTTATTAGGAATCAATCTTTTTCCAAAATGGAAATAATAAGTGATTACTACTTTGACTTAAGCCTCAGAATTTCTATCTTTATTCTGAGGGAGTAAGGGAAGCATTAGGAAATGTGTTAAAGGGAAAGTCTTCCTTGATTTGATTTCTGTTATGATAAAACACACTCTAAAATGATTAACTTTTAATACATACCTCTAGTCCACCATCCTGGTAACTTTCCATTAATCTCTGTTTGAATTTTTCAACTATTTGTGGCCTGTTAATGGAAAAGTTTTCTTTCATGACATGGTGCTTCCAAAGGTCTAGGGGGAGAAACATACCAATGGTAGTATCATGAAACGTTGAAAAATAATTAATGGCTATTCTCTGAGACATAACACTGGACACAAGAAGCTGTTATTTCCAAATACACAAAAACTAATGGGTGAGGCAGGGGGAGGGGAGGAGGTAGTTGAGGTCACAGAATCCTCCAGAACATAGATGTAAGGAAGATCTCTAACAGGATCTCTAATGAAAAGATTTGGAAAAGTACCTCTATAGCCCAGTGAACAATATTCTGTTATCATAATTAAAAATCCCAAATCAAATGTTACTATTGATCCAACACAATATCTATTTTCGTTAAGTCCCTACATGTATCTGAACACCTATTTTGGCCTAACACAACTCACAGAAATAAATGAAGAGCTATTGTATTTACAGTCATAGACTAGAAAGGTTGAGAGCTGACAGACTATGGATTGAAGTGGCAACAGGCTGCCATATGAGATGAGGCATATGCACAGTTATTTACAGTAGCATTGTTTAGGACAGCAGTATCTTGGAAGCAATACATAAACTGTGGTATGTCCTTCCAATGGAATAGTATGCAGCTATAAAAAGGAGAGAAACTTTTCCGTGTATTGATATGGAAAGAACCATAGTTTGCTCTGTGAAAAATGCCAGGTGAAGAACAGTGAGTATAAAGATATTCTTATCTTTTATGAGAATGATATGATAAATATACTCAAGGAGGGTCTGTCCCCTCAAGCCTATTCAAGATGATCACTCCAGAAATACAGCATTCTCCAATATCACTTCTCCCCTCTATCCTGGGTCATTCACAATAGCACACATTATTTCTCCCACCTCATAAAAATCCTCCACCCCACAACCCCTGTCTTTACTGTCTGTGACTTCTCTCAAAATCCTTCTTAAGCCTGCTGAGAAGGCTTAAGAAGCTTTCTCCCCCACCGCTTCCCTGAAACTGATTTTGTATCAAGTACCAGCGACCTCAGCATTACTAAAAATGTTCATTTTACTCGAACCACTGCTTTACCAGAAGCATGACACATGATTTGTCACATTCCTCTTGCTTGAGAAACTTTTATTACTAGACATTGGGATACCACTCTGTCCTAGTTTTCTTCTTGTTGTTTGATCCCTCTCAGTCCCTTTTGCTGGTTCTTCTTTTCCCCTCCCCCACTCCAGCTCTTAATATGAGAGGGTCCTCAGACTCAGCCCTTGGTTTATCTACCTTTTTTCTACCTACGCTCACTTTCTTTGCTATCTCATTTGGTCTCATGGCCAAATATCATCCATATGCTGACAACCTCAAATTTAGATCCAATAGTCACTTGGCATCTCTTCTTAGATATCTAAAAAGCATTTTATCTTATTATTTTTTATTTTTTATTAACACATAATGTATTATTTGTTTTAGGGGTACAAGTCTGTGATTCATCAGTCTTACACAATCCATAGCACTCATCATAGCACATACCCTCCCCAATGTCTATCACTCAACCACCCCATTACTTCCATGCCCTCCCTCTAGCAACCTTCAGATTGTTTCCTGAGATAGACTCTTATGGTTTGTCTCCCTCTCTGGTTTCATCTTGTTTCATTTTTGCCTCCCTTCCCCTATGATCCTATGTATTTTTTCTCAAATTACTCAAATCAGTGAGATCATATGATAGTTGTCTTTCTCTGATTGACTTATTTCACTTAGCATAATACACTCTAGTTCCATCCACGTCATTGCAAATGGCAAGGTTTCAATTTTTGATGGCTGCATAGTATTCCATCATATATATACCACATATTTATCCATTGATCTGTTGATGGACATCAGACATCTAGGCTCTTTCCATAGTTTGGCTATTGTGGACAGTGCTGCTATAAACATTGGGGTGCATTGTCTAAAAACATTTTAAATGTCATTTGAGCATAAATAAATTCTTAATCTTCCCTCCCTAACTTTCCATCTTAGCTGATGGCAATTCTACTTTCCCAATTTCTCAGGTCAAAAATCTTGGAGTTCTCATGGACTCTTCTCTTTCTCCCACATCCAACACACAATCCATTAGTGGTTACTTCAATAATATGCCCCAAATCTGACCACTTAATACTTCCACTGCTCCCAGCTTTGTTTGACCACCATCTCCCCATGCTCGGATTTTTGCATTAGCCTCCAAAGCAGCCTCTCCCTTCTTCCACCCTTTTCCCTTTACAGTCCATTCTCAACACAGCAGCCAGGGAGATTCCATTAAAATATGTCATATCAGGGACACCTGAGTGGCTCAGTTGGTTAAGCATCAACTCTTGATTTCGGCCCAGGTCATGATCTAGGGTTGTGAGATCAAGCTCCAAGCTGGGCTCCATTTTCAGCAGGGAGTCTGCTTGAGATTCTTGCTCTCCCTTCCCTCTCCCCCTCCCCTAAATGAATAAATACATCTTTAAAAATAAAATACGTTAGGCGCCTGGGTGGCTCAGTGGGTTAAGCTGCTGCCTTCGGCTCAGGTCATGGTCTTGGGGTCCTGGGATCGAGTCCCACATCGGGTTCTCTGCTCAGCAGGGAGCCTGCTTCCCTCTCTCTCTCTCTGCCTGCCTCTCTGCCTCCTTGTGATCTCTGCCTTTCAAATAAATAAATAAATAAAATCTTTAAAAAAAATACGTCAGATCATGTCACTCAAAACTTGGGACAAGTTCCCCATTACATTCAGAGTAAACACTAAGAGTAGGCCCTGTATGATCCATCGTCTTTTCATTATTCTTCTCTGGTTTCATTTCCTAATACTCTCCCTCACTCTCTCCACTCCAGCCACACTTGGGTCTTTCTGTTCCATAAACATGTTAGGTATGCTCTGCTTAGGTCCTCTGTGTGGGCTTCTGGATGGACTGTTCTTTGTCTGTTTATCTGTCTGCCCAGACAGCCACATAGCCAACTCCCTCATCACCTTCAAATTTTGCTCAATATGTCACTTTCTCCATGAAGTCTATCCTGACCACCCTATTTAAAATTACAATGTGCCTTCTTCAAACCCCCACACCACCATCCTCCTTACTCCATTGTTTTCTTATTTCTTGTGTTTATTGCTTATTATCTGCCGATTTCCTTCTAGATCATAAACTCCACAAGAGTAAGGAGTTTTGCTCCATGAAAGTAAGGATGTATTCCCCAAACAGTGCCTAAAATATAGTAGTATGGTATATCCTAGGGGCTCAATAAATAGATATTGGATGAAAGAATGAATTAGTATATGCATAAAGAAACACCAATACTATATATTAAAAAACAAATAAAAATGGTTACATGGGATGATGAAAGGGGGTCAGTGGTGGCAATGAGATCTCTGCACACATATATTTTCATATTGTTTTGAGTTTTGAACCAGGTGAATGTATTAGCTGTTAAAGAAATCAAACTTAAAAATAATATGACAGTGCTGAAACTGTGGGACTATGTCAACGCTGCTTAACTTCCATATGGAAGAGAAAAGCACATGTATATGTTTAATTATGTTGGGTATGGCCTACTTCCTTGTGCATGGCCTGAGGGGAGTCTGGATACAAAGAGAAGCCTATGGAATCAGAGGTAAAAGCCAACCCCTGCCCTTCCCCCTTTACTGTTGTGGGGGTGCTGGTCAACAGCAAGAGTACACACAGGGCCACACCCTGTTCCCAGCTGTTTCTAATTTCAGATGTGATTTCCTACTAATACTTTCATTTTTCTGACAGAGACTTGGTGCCCACAAGAGGAAGCATCCAACACAATCTAGCGCAATCCTCTCAGAAATGTGGCTATGACAGAGCAAGAGCCCCTGGTATGTGCAATTATCTTATTTATTGGGTGAACCTGATTTTAAAAATGGGGTTCCAGAATTCTTCTACTGTTAACTATTTCCCGTCATGAACATATAAATCTGACTTTGTTTTTCCCTTAGGATAATAAACGTGAGTAGACCTAACACCATTGTCCTGGCATGGTTGGAGTGGAAAATCCAAAAGAGTTAATGTGTCTAGAAGTTCACACTTCTTAAGATGTTTAAGACCTTTTTAAGTCTAAGCTTTGACAAAATAGAGCTCATGCACATTTCAGAAAATTTTCAGACAAGAAATTGGATACTTTTTCCAGGGTACATTGGCGGTAGGTCTCTGGCTCATGGAAAAGCCTGGTGAGGGAACACATCTGCCACACATTTCTGGTTTGGGGGCCATCACCTGGCAAATGCCCACAGAGGTGGTTTTGGGTTTAGCTCTGGGCTCAGCTGAAAGGGAAGTATTTTACCAAAGTGCTGGGAAACCTTCCCACCATGCTTCTTCCTCATGAGTTCAAGTTCAAGCACGCAAGTACTTCTGTAGCCAGGAGTCATGGGAAGCCAGGGAAAGTAGAATTCATCCAAGAGAAGTAATTCCTGGCCAGGTGGAGTTGGTAGTCTCCAAATGGGTCTCCATATCAGTGTGTGTGTGTGTGGTCATGGCTTCTTTAAGATGAAGCAGTTTTTGACGGCAGCATGGAGGTGGGAAGGAGACAGCACACTGGAGGTTGAATTAGGGTTTTGTTTTTTCCTTTCACTCTGTTCCCAGGTCCTTTGACTGGAGGAAACTCTGACTCCCTGCTGGCCAAACCACTTCCCCTCTCTCCCTCTATGAACACTCTCCCTACCCTCCAGTCAGCCTCCTCCATCTAGGAAAGGCATCTTGGTTTCATACATTTCACTTCTCTAATACAACTGCTAACCTCTGCCTGAGTGACTCCTGGGTCCTGATCCAAGCAGAACTGAAACTTGAAGGCATCCAACTGCCAACCAACATTCTTCTGACCTGCCGGCAGCCCCCCCAAAAGTGGGTAGGTTGAAATCTTACTTCTTCAACCATATGTATGTATATATTTTGTACTCCTGTGTTTCTCAAACTGCTCCCCAGAACACTAGTCCCTTGAGTTGACAATATATATTCTCAAGGGAAGAAAAAGGTTCTGTGGTCAAATAAATTTAAAGAATGCTTCAGTGGGTAGGGGGATGGGGTATTAAGGAGGGCA